ATTTTTTTAAAAATTTATCTGAGTGTAGCTCAGCATCCGCTGGACCAATCAAAAAGTGCGCCATACATTTTTTGTTCGAGACTCCCGGGTTAAGACTTTGGCGGTATTCCCGATCAATTTTTTCCCAAATTTAAATTTTCGAAATTTTTTAAAAAATTTATCTGAGTGTAGCTCAGCATCCGCTGGACCAATCAAAAAGTGCTCCATACATTTTTTGTTCAGAACTTTCTTCTAATCACTATGGCGGTATTCCCGAACGATTATCTTGCAAATTTAATTTTTCTAAATTTTTTCCAAATTTGTTTTCTAGTGTAGCTCAGCATCCGCTGGACCAATCAAAAAGTGCGCCATACATTTTTTGTTCGCTACTTTTTGCTAAAGACTTTGGCGGTATTCCCGAACGATTATCTCGAAAATTTAATATTTTGGAAATTTTTCATAAATTTATTTGAGTGTAGCTCAGCATCCGCTGGACCAATCAAAAAGTGCGCCATACATTTTTTGTTCAGAACTTTCTTCTAATCACTATGGCGGTATTCCCGAACGATTATCTTGCAAATTTAATTTTTCTAAATTTTTTCCAAATTTGTTTTCTAGTGTAGCTCAGCATCCGCTGGACCAATCAAAAAGTGCGCCATACATTTTTTGTTCGCTACTTTTTGCTAAAGACTTTGGCGGTATTCCCGAACGATTATCTCGAAAATTTAATATTTCGAAAATTTTTCATAAATTTATTTGAGTGTAGCTCAGCATCCGCTGGACCAATCTAAAAGTGCGCCATACATTTTTTGTTCGAAACTTTTTCCCTATTTTATTGGCGGTATTCCGGAGCGATTATCTCGCAAATTTAATTTTTCTAAATTTTTTCCAAATTTGTTTTCTAGTGTAGCTCAGCATCCGCTGGACCAATCAAAAAGTGCGCCATACATTTTTTGTTCGCTACTTTTTGCTAAAGACTTTGGCGGTATTCCCGAACGATTATCTCGAAAATTTAATATTTTGGAAATTTTTCATAAATTTGTTTTCTAGTGTAGCTCAGCATCCGCTGGACCAATCAAAAAGTGCGCCATACATTTTTTGTTCGCTACTTTTTGCTAAAGACTTTGGCGGTATTCCCGAACGATTATCTCGAAAATTTAATATTTCGAAAATTTTTCATAAATTTATTTGAGTGTAGCTCAGCATCCGCTGGACCAATCTAAAAGTGCGCCATACATTTTTTGTTCGAAACTTTTTCCCTATTTTATTGGCGGTATTCCGGAGCGATTATCTCGCAAATTTAATTTTTCTAAATTTTTTCCAAATTTGTTTTCTAGTGTAGCTCAGCATCCGCTGGACCAATCAAAAAGTGCGCCATACATTTTTTGTTCGCTACTTTTTGCTAAAGACTTTGGCGGTATTCCCGAACGATTATCTCGAAAATTTAATATTTCGAAAATTTTTCATAAATTTATTTGAGTGTAGCTCAGCATCCGCTGGACCAATCAAAAAGTGCGCCATACATTTTTTGTTCAGAACTTTCTTCTAATCACTATGGCGGTATTCCCGAACCATTATCACGAAAATTTAATTTTTCGAAAATTTTTCATAAATTTATTTGAGTGTAGCTCAGCATCCGCTGGACCAATCAAAAAGTGCGCCATACATTTTTTGTTCAGAACTTTCTTCTAATCACTATGGCGGTATTCCCGAACCATTATCACGAAAATTTAATTTTTCGAAAATTTTTCATAAATTTATTTGAGTGTAGCTCAGCATCCGCTGGACCAATCAAAAAGTGCGCCATACATTTTTTGTTCAGAACTTTCTTCTAATCACTATGGCGGTATTCCCGAACCATTATCTCGAAAATTTAATTTTTCGAAAATTTTTCATAAATTTATTTGAGTGTAGCTCAGCATCCGCTGGACCAATCTAAAAGTGCGCCATACATTTTTTGTTCGAAACTTTTTCCCTATTTTATTGGCGGTATTCCGGAGCGATTATCTCGCAAATTTAATTTTTCTAAATTTTTTCCAAATTTGTTTTCTATTGTAGCTCAGCATCCGCTGGACCAATCAAAAAGTGCGCCATACAGTTTTTGTTCAGAACATTTTGACTATTTTTTTGGCTGTATTCCCGAACGATTATCTTGCAAATTTAATTTTTTGAAAATTTTTCCAAATTATTTTTGAGTGTAGCTCAGTATCCGCTGGACCAATCAAAAAGTGCGCCATACATTTTTTGTTCAGAACTTTCTTCTAATCACTATGGCGGTATTCCCGAACGATTATCTCGCAAATTTAATTTTTCTAAATTTTTTCCAAATTTGTTTTCTTGTGTAGCTCAGCATCCGCTGGATCAATTAAAGAGTGCGCCCTACATTTTTTTCTCTTCCTTTTTTTTATTTATTTTTATGAAGTAGAGTCTCTACATCAAGTCGCTATTATGAAGCTGAAGTACTCAACGTTTATGATAAACGATATTTAAAGAAATAATTTAAAAAAATGAAAAATTTTATAATTTTTTATCTAAAAAATATTTCTGGTAGTTTTCAATAATCAAGAAATTATACAAAAATATTTTTTAGGCAAAAAATTATAAAAATTTTCATTTTAATAATTATTTCTTTAAAAATTGTTTATCATAAACGTTGCGTACTTCAGCTTCGTTCGCTTCTCAATTTTATTCGATGCACGTCTTCCGCTCAAGTTTCTTGAATTTTATGAAAATTAATGTTTTAGAAAGTGAATTGTAGTCGAAATGAAATCATATTACGAAGTATATGATTTTCTTTATATATATTTTTTAATTTTGAATAATTGAATTATGACTTGAAATATTATTCAAGATGAATATTTCATGTTTCTTTTTTTTTTTAAATTTTTTTTAAAGCCTATTTTATAATTTATATTATTCTAGGAAATAATATACTTAGTATGTTGTGACATGTGTTCAGTGAGTTCCGAATCGCGTATACTTCCATTAAAAAATAGAAGCTAGAGAGTATTAGTAAAATGGAAACCGCACACATGTTTCAATTTACATCATTAATTTTTGTAAGAGGCATTGTGGGTAATTTGAGATGGATATTTTGCAAAAGCAAAGTGCTAAGTTAGGTTTGTTTTACGCGTGGCTGATTTTCCGTCAGTTAGTTCAGTTTTAAGGTAGGTCAATCAATGAATTTTCCGATAAAACAAAAAAAAAAATGACTTCGTCGACACTCTGCTAATGTTATTTTACCGTATATAGGTACCCGATAACGTTAATGCAAAAATTTTTCCATGGTTTGTGAATTGCTTACGGCAGATGCTCTCTGAAGCGTAACGGGGTTTTCTTGAATACGACCTCGTGTATACCTACGCACCATGCAAAAGCACACATAATTTTTTTCCTTCCCGCCAAAGCGTGCGTGTGGTTTCTTGTTACAAATGCAGGAAAACAGGCGTTAATAATATCGACCGATATATTTATCAAAGTCCAATATTATGTTCTAGACTTCAAAATTCAATTAGATTTAACGCTCTCCTTCATTTAGGGAAATTCAATATTTTTTACACTTGAAAAAATATTTTTTTGATTCAAATAATCTTTTACTTGACTATTATCAAATAAATATATTTATTTGAATCTACATGGAAAAATTTTTTCACCTGGAACATTGATAAGTTTCACTGAAACAGCGATATATTTCATTAAAATAGCGAAAGTTTTTTTTTGTTATTCTAGAGAAACATATCGTTGTTTCAAATAAAGATTTTTTTCTCTGTAATAAATTGTATCTGAACCAATAATTTTTGTATTTGAAACAAATATAATGTTTTGAAACATTTTATTATTTGATTATAAACTATAATAATTATTTAATACAAGTAAATATTTATTTTTTATAAACTATAATAATTATTTAATACAAATAAATATTTTTTTTTATAAACTATAATAATTATTTAATACAAATAAATATTTATTTTTTATAAACTATAATAATTAAATATTTATTTAATAATAGTCAAGTAACCGAATATTTAAATCAAATAAATTTGTAAGAGAAAATAAAAATAATTAAATTGCAAAATAAAATAGTTCTTTGAATCATTGTATATTTTTAGGATTTTTAGAAGACATTCTTTTAAATTAGAAAAATTGCATCAAATTAAAAGAAAGTTAAATTAAAGAATCTAAATTTTTGTCATGTAAGGACAAAGAATCTTTTTTTTAACTTCTCTAATTAATCTCTTTAAAAGTTCATTAGTCTACGAAGTATTTAAATTGGATTACCATAAGATTCTTGAGTAACATATCCAATTTCGGTTAATTCTATAAAAAAAAAAAATGTTACTTTCCTTGCACGAAATTCTAGTCTAGTTTTTCATTCGAACCATGTATAAATATTTTTAGATACAAATACAATTTTTAGATAAAAATAATTTAGAAAATAAATTTTATTTGGTTTAAATAAAATTTATTTAAAACAAATAGTAAATATTTATTTGGTTTAATAAAATTTATTTAAAATAAATAATAAATATTTGTTTCAAATAAATGTTAATAAAATATTTCTCTGCGAGAAAAGAAAATTTCAATTTCAAATAGATTCAAAAAATAATATTTAATTACATAAATTTATGTTAATTTCGAATTGAAAAAATAGTAAATGCAAAAACAATAACATACAGTGGCCTCTGAAATATGCAAAATGACTTTTGCTGCTTATTTCTTTTTTTTTTCTTAAATTTATAAGGCTTTAAAAAAAAGAGAGACTTGATTTAATGTGCCTGCGAGCAAGTACAAAATATTGTTGAGTGCTGTGCGTATAATGAGCCGGAAGTTTTTTTTTCACCCTTTTATTTTTTTTTTTATTAATATCCATAAGCACTCTACCTAATGTTTTTTTTTTTGTTTCTTTCATTTTGTAATGAGAGGGATGTTTACGTGACAAAAAAGAGTTTAAAAAAAAAAAATAAAAATAATATATATATATTTTTTTTATTCTGGCTGTGCATGCATGCCACCCACAGGGAGTGGAAACGTTGGAAGTGGTGGAAGTTGTGAGGCTGATAGAACGGGTTTCGGGAGCGGTGGAGGTGGTGGTGCTGGACGCCCGCAACCACGTGCACGGCGTACGCAACGTCGTGTCACTCACTCCGAGAAACGCTATCACTCAGGTAGCGTGTTTCGAGTTTACTTTTCGGGTTTAATCAAAGCAAAATTTTATGAGTCAACAAAAAAAAAATAAAAATAAATAATTTTCCCTAAATTTGAAATATTAAAAATTATTAATTTTTTTTAATTTTTATAATAAAATGTTTTTTTAATAAAATTTTTTCAATATAAATATTACAATTAAAATTTTTTATAAACAAATTTTTTTTTTTAATTTTTTTATTTTTTATTATTAAATAAATATTGCAAATAAAAGAAATAATAGCAATAATAATATAATTAAAAATATAAATTGAAATTGACGATTTTCTTATTTCTTCGTACTTTTTTTTTAAGATAAAAAAATTATTTCATTGTTATTAATATAAATTAGCAGATTAGAAAAAAAGGTATTGTTCGCTGCTTTTTGTTCTCATTTCATTTGTATCAAAAACGTGACTTTCGAAGAATAACTTCTTTTATTTTATACAAATTTTTTTAAATTTATTCTTATATCAATTTCAAATAGAAGTGTTCTTGAGATTTTTTTTTTTATGTATTTGCAATATTTTTAAAACTCATTTAATAATTTTTTTTTATTTTCAAGGGGAGAAAAAAGGAAAAGAATTTTTTTGTTTTAATATTTAAAATTCTTAATAAAAATATTTCCTTCGAAAAATTGATATATGATAAAAAATATGACTCATATTATTTTGTCCCGAAAAGAATTTTAGGAAAATGTCTTTTTCTGTTTGCCCTTTGTGATATGTGTTAGTGTGTAGAATTTTTTTCGTGTTTTCTATTTATTTCTTTTTTTTTTTTCCTATCAAATGAAAAATTTTTGAAAATCGCTTACATATGCTTTAGATTTTGGTATTTGCTTTAATTAGTAGAAAAAAAACAACCTTTAACCCACAATTTTTGTTATTTAGAAAAAAAAAACATAAAAATTTCGTTACATCCTTATCCTTATCATAATTTGTTTAAGATTAAAATATTATGAATTTAACCGATAAATTTCTATAAAAAATAATCGTATTATTTGTTTTTGAAATCTGTTTATGTATCTAGTCTTTGTCTTGTTTTTTTTATTTTTTTTATTTATTTAGTTTTTTCTTTTTTGTTTAAAATTGATCCACTTTAATCCTATTTGTTTTTTTTCAATGTTTCTCGTTACCCAATTTATCCAATAATTTTGCTGAAGTTTGAATAACTCTTCCTCAGTTTGGAATTTATGAGGAAATTTTCCAGGAACAAAATATGAAGCTTAATATGAGAGCAGTCTGACAATGAGCAGTGTTGATTGTTAAATACTTTACAGTGGTCGTTAACGTCTCACCTTGTCCTCGGGTTCTTTTTTTTATTTTTTTTTTTTATAATTTATTAATTTTAACTCTCGAACGGTGAAGGAAGGGGTAATTTTTTTTTTTGCTCTTTTTAATATTGAAAGCTCTACAATTAATTTTTAAAAATTATTATTTGATAAAATTTTATTAAAATAAAATTTTATTAAATGGAATTTTATTAAATAGAATTTTATTAAATGGAATTTTATTAAACAGAATTTTATTAAATAGAATTTACTATAAGCCGAATTTTTATTTTTTCGAATTATTATTTTTAATGTAAATTCAATTTAATCAAATTTTTATAAGAATTTTTTTTTATTAAATAAATTTTTATTTTACAAATTTTTTATTTACAAATACTAATTTAAATTTAAATAGTAAATTATAAATTAATTTAAAAATTAAAGCCTCAAATTTTTAATATTTATTCGAAGGAAGCTTACGAAAATAAAATTTATATTTCTAATATTATTCTTTTTTGTAAAATAAAAAAATTCTTTCTACTATATGAAAATTTGAATAAATAATAATTTAAATTCGATGATAATAAAGAAATAAATAAAATGAAAATTTTGTAAAAATTATAGAAATTCGTTTTAAAAATAGAAATTTCGGTTAAATAATAATTTATTTATAAATAAAATTTTTTTTGTAATGAAAAGAAATAAAAATTCCAACTTAATTTTAGAGCTCAATTTATTTTTTATTTTATCGACGTTTAGATGTTATAATAATTATAATTATTTTTTGATAAAAAAAAATTCACTAATATTTAATAGGGTTTTGCATGAAGGGATTAAAATTGGTTCTAAAAAATAAGCTATGAATTTTCTTTTTTTTTCCAATATAATAATTTGTTTGCAATTTTCAACAGGTGATTCGGTATTTTCTCTGATAATAATTGAGAAAAAAAAATGGAATAAAATTGCTTGAATTTTGTTTTGCCACACTAAAAAAAAAAAAAAAAAAAAAAAAAATAGCTGTTGTCTATGTGTCGTTGTGTTGTTGTTGCATGCAGGAGGCCGGATGATTCCTGGAGGGATCGTCAGTCCCCCAGGATCTGGCGGCTCCACGGGGAACATCGGGAACACAAATTCGGCAGCCATCAGACGTGGAAACCGCAGACTCACGCGAAATGAAAGCCGATATCACTCTGGTGAGTATAATGATAAAACTGGTTATATGAAAAGAAAATTGCTCTCCGTTCAATCAGTGAAAAAAAAAAATATTAATTCTTTTATCACAAATTCTAGCAATTTTCAATTTTTGAATAGAAATTTTCTTTCCATATTTTTCATTCTAGAAAGAATTTAAAAAAAAAAAATACAAATTTTTTATTAGGAGAAAAAACACCTGGACTTATTTTACTAAAAAAAAAAAAAGGAAGGTTAAAAAAAAAATTGTGTCAGTGTCATTAAATTTGAATTATGAGACCTTTATATGGTGAAATTAGATCAATACGATCACGTCCATGTGTTTTTTTTCATCGAGGGGAAAAAAAATTTCAAGAAATAAATTGCAAATCGTGGTTTCAAATTTAGAGAGAAAAAGATTTGATAGGGACGGAAGCAAAAAAAATACTGAACCTCTTTCTTCCTTTTACCTCCTACTCTCAATTTTAATTTTTCATATACACTAGCATGCTCAATTTTTTTTTATCTGCATTGCATTTCGATGTTGCACGAATTTTTTTTTTCTAATTTAATCCTAAATGTGCATTAATTTAAAAAAAAAATATTTGATTTAGAAATCATTGTTGACAGCAAAAAAAAAACCGAATATATTGAACAATAGAGATTATTGACGCAATATGTGCGTAACGTTTTGATAAGAATAGTTTTTTTTTTTTTGATGAAATAGAACAAAGCTGCACGTAGGTATATCAGCGAAAGCCGGAATGCAAGAGAAAGGTCAGAGGTGTGCTCGTTTTATAGTTTATGCTACATAATCTTGGTGTGTGAGCGTTGCATTCTTGTCACTCAGTTTCTATAATCTAAACCGTTTGAAAAAAAAAATAATTACATGAAATTAAATTCTTATTTTTTTAAAATCAAATCGGTTGAGAATATTTCTGAGTGAAAAAAAAATTTTTTTTCTTTACTGAAATTAATTTTATTTTCGCAGAGGTGCGTCAGGAGGCGGTTCAACAGGCGTTGGCGGCGATGCAGAGTCGACCAAAACCCTCGTTGCCAATGCCGTCGAAAAGAACGTCTGTGATGGCAAGAAGTCCGGAACGAGAGAGACGCGACGGTGGTGGTGTTGGCGATTCAAGCAGCGACGAGGACAGCGTTGTAACGGAAGAGAGTCCTGGAGCTGGTGGTCCAAGTGGTACTGGACTCTCTGACACGAGTAGCACTGGATCGGCTCGCGATACACCGCCACCACCAAGACCACCAGCGAGACGGCCACCAGCCGATATAACTGATATTGCCGAATATTCACCGCACGCCTATTGTAATTTGGTGCAACCACCTGATGTCACACATACAACGCAAAATCGTCGGCCAGTTATTGCCGATCATGTAAATCGTTATCATGCCGTTGAGGATAATAATACAGGTACCACGGGTAGATGGAAGGTGTCAGCTAAAATTCAACAACTTTTAAATACATTAAAACGACCAAAAAGACGACCACTGCCTGAATTTTATGAGGACGATGATATTGAATTGGAAATTGCAGCAAATCCAAAAGATCCCAATGCACCTAAACCAGAAGGTGGTTCGATGACCTCGGCTATTGGTGAGCAGATGTCCGTTGCCTCTGGTTTGCCAAGGTCACTCGAGGCCGCGATTCTAAGGTGAGATTAGTTTTCCAAAAAAAAAAAAACTTTCTCCAAAAAATACCCTTTTGATTTCCAACAAAGATCGAAAAGAAAATTAGACAAAAATTATATTTCCAAATTAATGGGGAATTTTTATTTTATTTATTCTATACGAATTTTCGAGATTTTTATGAAATTTTTAGTTAACAATTTTATTAAAAAAATAATTTTTTGTAGCCGAATTTTTATTAATTTTCACAAAATTTTTATTTAACGGAATTTTATTATATTTTATCCGAATTTTTATTTCCTCTAATTAAAATTCCATTTAATCGAATTTCTATATTAGAGAATTGTTATGGAATTTTCATTTTTCTTTCATCGAATTTGACAGAATTTCGAATTTTCATTTTTGTAGACAGAATAGTGAATTAAAAGAATTTTATTATACAAAAAGAATATTAGAAATAATTTATAGATTTAGAAAATTTTTATTTCATCGAATTTGGTAGAATTAATTTGTTTGTATTTTCGTTGATATTTAAAACAATTTTTATTTTACAAAAAAGAATATAAGAAATAGTTTTTTTCTAGTCGAATTTTTATTTGTACGTAATTTTCCCAAAAATTCTTGAAACGAGGAATTTTTTTATTTTACAAAATTTCTAATTTTCCGAATAAATGTATGGCGGAAAAATTAAATTTTCAAATTAATTTATCATAAATCTAAATTCGAATTCGTTCAAATTAGTAGAAATTTTTATTAATTTTTTTTTTAGTAAAATAATGTTCCGTATATTGAAGAAAATACAAAATTTGAGTTAAATTTTATTTTACTAAAAAGAAATTTCGTTGAAATAAAAAATATGTAAAATGAAATTTTTTTTAATTGACAATTCTGTAATACAGAATTTCGTTTAAATAGAAATTCCATTAAATAATAATGTTCGAAAAAATAAAAATTTGTCTAAAAGTAAATTCAAAGTAATTAAATTCTGTCAAATTATTGGAGCTTATGGAAAATTTCTAATTAACCGAATTTTTATATTTGCTTAAATTATTATTCGTTCAAAATTAAAATTGTGAAAACGTTGCTAAATTAAAATTTGATTAAATAAAAATTCGGAAATATTAAATAATTAAATTAATTTCGTTGAAATAGAAAGTGAATGTTGCATTGAAAGAAAATTCCAATTAAAGAAAAATTTGAAATGAAATGAAAAACAAATGAAAATTAAAAAAAAATTTTAATATAAAATTCAATTTTAATTAACGTTTGTTTTTTAATTTGTGTTTTTAAATTTTTATTTGATAACAAAAAGATTTCTATCCCTGACAGAATAAAAATTTTAAAAAAGTAGATAAAAATAATTATAATAATAAATAATAAATGTAAAAAAATGTAAATATCAAAGTAACCGAAACGGAAATTGAAGGAAAAAGTTAATCCCTCGGACAAATATTCAAATTAGTTTTAATCCAAAAAGAATAATAATTATAAAATGGAATTTAAAGAGATAGTTATTTAAAAATATAAAAATTGAAAAAAATATCGAATGATTGAACTTGAATGAAAATATTTTTAGAGTATATATAGTTTAAGAGGCATAAGCTGATGCTAGAACAGTCTGAGTAATTTGATCCCCCTAATTTACTTAAGTTCATCGTGCATCATGATAGGCAGAAACTGGATTGTCCACATTTCTCAGCACGTTCAGCACAGATATATATATACAAGTACAAAACTTAACGTGTGTATAATAATGCTTATGGGCACAAATTGTTTTCATAACGAGTTTAGATAAAGCACACACACTCGCTGCTTTATAATATAACAGTCACAAGTAGAATAGAAAAGTCAAACACCCACGTATATATTTATAAAACGTGAATATTTTATCATCTTTCATTCCGAACCTTTTATCCAAATATGGTTATAAGACGGTGAAAGTAAAGATTCGAGATGAAATCTTGTTTTGAATGATGTAACATTGGTGTATTGCAAAGTTTTCAGAAAATTCATGCGACTAAAAATATATATTTTCAAAAAAAAAAAAAAAATTTGTTCTATGATGTATTTAGTTTATTCAATATTTAGGAAGTGTTAATCAATTTGATTTGCAAGGATGAAATTATTAATTTTTCCTAAAAAATTTTAAACAATTTTTTACTAATTATTCAGAATTTTTAGTTTATAAAAGAGAGTTTTTAATTTCCTTTGGAATTTTTCAGTTTTCTTTAGGAATTCTGAATGACTTTCAAATTTTGAAATAATTATTTTGACAATGAATGCATTTATTTTTTGACATAATAATTGTTCAATTTTGAAAACAATGGAAAAATTATTAAATTGTTCCCTTTGTTTGTAAATTGTACATGGTTACATGTAGTTTAAAATTCTTTTTTTTAATATTATTTAATTCTTTATTTAAAATGTTGAAATAATCGAATCTATATTTTTTAAAATTACAATTATTTTTGTAGTTTTTCGTTTTACACCGGTAATTTTATTGTAAATTGAAATTAAAATTTTGGAAAATAAAATTATAAGCTAAAATTTAATTTTTGTTTTGTAAATTATTATTTTATAAAAAGATGTTTTATAAAATTTTGTTTTTGTTTTAGGTACGGCTCAGCAACATATAAGGCACCAGCTGCGACAGTTTTGGATCCGAATGGCAAACTCTGTATAACCTTGACATATGGAAAACTTCTAAGCCGCTCCCATAAAATAGCCTATACATTATTAAACAAAACATTAAGTCGTGCTGGCGATTGCTGTCTAAAACCGGGTGATAGAATTGCTTTAGTTTATCCAAACAATGATCCAATTAGTTTTCTTTGCGCTTTTTACGGATGTCTTCAAGCTGGCATCGTTCCTGTTCCAATAGAGGTTCCTCTAACTCGCAGGGATGCTGGATCTCAGCAAATTGGCTTTTTATTAGGCAGCTGTGGAATTCAGGTATTTAATTTCAATTAAAAAAATTTTTTTTTGAATAATGAATTTTTTTTAAATTGTTTAATAACGAATATTATATTCAACAGGTGGCATTGACAAGTGAAACTTGCCTGAAAGGCCTGCCGAAGACAACGGCGGGTGAAGTGGTGGCATTTAAAGGATGGCCAAAACTCCATTGGTTCGTTACCGAGCATCTGGCAAAGACACCGAAAGATTGGCTGCCACCGCCACGTCTAACGGATGACACTCCGGCTTACATTGAATATACCACCGATAAGGATGGATCCGTGATGGGAGTCACGGTGACTCGAGCGGCGATGCTCTCACATTGTCGCGCATTGACGCAAGCATGCGGTTACACTGAGGGTGAAATTGCCGTTTGTGTTCTCGATTTTAAACGAGAAGTTGGCCTTTGGCACGCAACACTTACGAGTATTCTCAATGGAATGCACGTTATTTTCATACCCTATGCATTGATGAAAGTCAATCCGGCAAGTTGGATGCAAATGATCACCAAACATCGAGCGAGCGTTGCCGTGGTGAAATCGAGGGATCTTCATTGGGGTCTCCTGGCCACAAAGGATCACAAGGATATAACACTGTCGTCGTTGAGACTTTTGCTCGTTGCCGATGGAGCGAATCCATGGTCACTTTCATCGTGTGATCAATTTCTCTCGGTGTTCCAATCGAAGGGACTACGTCCGGATGCTGTGTGTCCTTGCGCTTCTTCGAGTGAAGCTCTCACGGTCTCTATTAGGCGACCGGGTCGTGCCGGTGTCAACGCCACGGGCAGAGGTGTCTTGTCAATGTCAGGACTCAGCTATGGTGTTGTACGTGTTGATCAGGAAAATTCACTCACTTCATTGACTCTCCAAGATTGCGGTCAAGTCATGCCCGGCAGTAAGTAACAATTTTGAATTTATTTCTATAAAAAATTTTTTTTTCAAAGTTTAAAATATTAAAAAATATTTTAAAATAATATTATTGAATGAGTTTTTAAAATTTAAAGAAGATCATTTGGAATATTTTTTAATATATATATTTTTTTTTCTGGAAATTTGTAAATATAATTTTATGAAACGTTAAGAATAAAGTACCGACATAAAGAGTTAAGTACTCGATTTATTCTTGCATTTTATGCATTTCACTGCACATCTAGGTTTAAGAATAAACCTCAGTGAAACTGCGAGCGGAAAGTTGACAAATACCATGTAATGTAATTCAAGCACGTGAAACTGAATCTTGTGTGCATTGTACTTGAATTGCACTGATAACTACTTGAAAAGTTTTGCTTCTAGTTGTAAAACAACAATAAACTTTTATTTTTTAAATTTCAATATTTAAACTTAACAACAAATTTAATTATTTAATTTAAAAAATTTATTAGAATTAAATTTTTTATTGTTAGTTTATATAATTTTTATTATTTTATTTATTTTTCATTTTGTATAATGATTACTATTATTGTTTTTACTTTTTTTATTATACCATTTTCACTTTTGAATTTTATTATTTTTTCTTTCATGTAATATTTATGAATAATTATATTTTATATGCGTATTTTCTATTTTAATTTATTTATTATTATTCTATTTATTTAACATAATGCAATATACAAATTTAACTATTTTACATAAAGAAATATTTAGGTTAGTCATAGAAGCAAAACAATTTTATTTTTCAACGCATTTATAATAAAGAACAATTTCTTTTAGATAGTATTTCTTTATGTATTTTTTGTGTATTTTTTTATGTAGCGATACTTAAAATGTTTGTCAGAAATAAATAATTATTTAATTTATTTATAAACGGATTTATAAAAAATAGAACAAAAATTACATTTTTTTTTACTAAAAGTACTAAATATAATTTGTTAATAATTGTAAATTTGCAAAATTTAAAAAGTATTATTTATTTTGTTATAAAAACTCAAAAGTGTATAATTTATTTAGTTTTATTCAAAAATTATCGAAGATTAATTGAAAATAATATTAATAATTTTTTTTTCCAGGTATTGTTATCGTAATAAAAATGGAAGGACCGGCAAATATTTGCAAAACAGACGAGGTCGGAGAGATTTGTGTGCATAGTCAAACAACTGGAAATCAATATTGGGGATTACAGGGATTAACAAATAATACTTTTAAAGTGTCACCATTACAAGCAGATGGAACAACTCTTGGCAATGAAGAATATACACGCTCTGGTCTACTCGGATTTTTGGGACCTGGAGGATTAGTTTTTGTTTGTGGTTCACGTGATGGTCTTATGACTGTAACAGGAAGAAAGCACAATGCTGATGATATAATTGCCACTGTTTTAGCTGTTGAACCAACTAAGTTTATTTATCGAGGTAGAATTGCAGTTTTTAGTGTTCGAGTTTTACGTGACGAAAGAATATGCGTTGTTGCTGAACAACGTCCCGATTGCAGCGAAGAAGAGGTATTAGTTTAATTTTTATTTGGAAATTTCTTTTTTTTAGTTAACAAAAAAAAATGATTTAGGTAATAAAAAAAATTCTTTTTAGAGTATTAATAAAATTTTTTGTTTTTAGAGTTTCCAATGGATGTCGAGAGTATTACAAGCCGTGGATTCAATTCATGCAGTTGGAATTTATTGTCTTGCATTGGTGCCACCAAATTACTTGCCTAAAACACCATTGGGTGGAATTCATCTCTCCGAAACAAAGAGACGTTTTCTAGAGGGTACACTACATCCTGCAAATGTTCTTCTCTGTCCACACACATGCGTGACAAATTTACCAAAACCACGTGAAATACATTCCGGTAAGTGATTATCAAGGCTTGGCTCGATTCAGCATTAGATGAGTAGATTTAATAGATATAATAGTTGGAAAATAAAGGGGGACCATAGGGAGAAAATAGAGAAATTGAGAGCCGCGCGGTCACTCCTAAAGGCCCGTCGCTTGAATTTTTATAAATCGTGAGTAAAAAAAAAAAAAAAAATCACCTAATACTAATCCAATCCAATTTTTTTGGCTCTTTTTTTTAATTATCTCTGTAAATTGTTGTCTTACCCCCCTGAATAATGTAGTTTTTTAATTCTCCACCCCCTTTTTTTTCCCCCCCTTTCGGTTTTCCTTTCTTTCTTTTGGCTGAGTTCAGAACGTTTTGTAATTCCTCGTGTTTTTGTATATACCTTGTTGTTGAATCGTATTTTCCTTTGTTCGACGGCAAAAAAAAAAAGGAAAAATTAAAAAAATACGTTGGACAGTCTCAATTATGCTTTCCGGTCTCAGTCAGGGGAGAGTTCGAGAAAGTTACTCATTTCTGAGTTGAGCTTTTGCGTTGGTTTACTAACGATATGTACGGGGGCGTGTAGCGGGGGATTCTGTTGCAGACGTGGGTCCAGCCAGCGTCATGGTCGGAAACATTGTCCAAGGGAATAGACTGGCTTCAGCGCAAGGAAGAGACATGGGTGTCCTCGATGAGGATAGTGACAGTGCCAAAAAGGTAAGTTTTTTTTTATTTATAATTTTTAATGGAATTAATTTGACGATCTCTTTTTTTTTCAGTACCAATTTATTTCGGAAATTTTGCGATGGCGAGCTGTTGGCACCTCAGATCATGTGATATTTACGTCTCTGAATTCAAAAGGAGCGGTCGCTGCTTCACTCTCTTGTTCACAGTTGCACAAGAAAGCTGAACGAATTGGAAATCTACTTCTTGATCGCGGGAGAATCAATACTGGAGATCATGTGGCTCTTATTTTTCCACCTGGCACTGATTTAATTTGTGCATTCTATGGCTGTCTATACGTTGGCGCTGTTCCCGTTACAATTAGGCCTCCACATCCACAAAATCTTCAGACAACGCTTCCAACTGTTAAAATGATTGTTGACGTCAGTAAATCCGTGCTGATACTAACTAATCAAAATCTATTAAAATTACTCAAGTCTAAGGTAAATATTAATATTTTTTTTTGAAAAAAATAATTACAGGATATTTTTGTCAATAAATGGAATATAAGAAAAAAGATTTTAATTATTTTAGGAAGCTAACAATGTCGTGGAGATCAAAAGTTGGCCGACGATCCTCGACATGGATGACATGCCAAAGAAAAAATTGCCAGTTATGTATCGCGCACCGACAGCTGAAATGTTGGCCTATCTTGATTTTAGTGTATCAACAACGGGAATGCTGGCTGGAATTAAAATGTCACATGCAGCTGTTACGTCTCTATGTCGTGCGATGAAATTGTCTTGCGAACTTTATCCCTCTCGTCATATCGCTCTCTGTTTGGATCCCTATTCAGGATTGGGATTCGCTCTCTGGTGCCTTAGCAGTATTTACAGCGGGCATCATTCTATTCTTATACCACCGTCAGAGGTTCGTTGAATTTTTATAATTTGAATGAATTTTTTTTCTAAATTTCTAGATGAGAAAAAATAATTGAAAAAAAAATTCTTTTAGGTTGAAGCAAATCCGGCACTATGGTTGTCTGCCGTGAGTCATTCGCGAGTGAGAGATACTTTTTGCTCTTATGGAGTGATGGAACTTTGCACGAAAGGATTGGGCTCATCGGTTCATGCTCTAAAAGCCAGGGGAGTTAGTTTAGCGTGTGTTAGAACATGCGTTGTTGTTGCTGAAGAAAGGCCGCGAATCGCTCTCACAACTAGTTTTAGCAAACTATTTTCCGCCCTTGGATTAAGTCCTCGTGCTGTGTCTACGTCTTTTGGTTGTAGAGTTAATACCGCCATTTGTTTACAGGTAGATTTTGTGCAAAATTTTTTTTTTGCATTTTTAATTAAAAACAAATCTGATTGTATGAAATAAATTTCAGGGTGCTTCCAGTCCAGAACCGTCAACAGTTTACGTTGATCTTCGAGCATTGAGAAATGATCGTGTGTCATTGGTTGAACGAGGAAGTCCACATTCATTATGTTTGATGGAATCGGGAAAATTGTTGCCAGGTGTAAAGGTTATAATTGCCAATCCCGAGACAAAAGGACAATGTGGTGATTCACATTTGGGTGAAATTTGGGTTCAATCATCACATAATGCGAGTGGTTATTTTACTATTTATGGCGATGAGAGTGATTATGCTGATCATTTTAATGCGCGGCTCGTTACTGGAAATACAAATGAAGTTTACGCTAGAACTGGATATCTTGGATTTTTAAGACGCACTGAATCGGTACAGCAATCAGTTCCTGGCGATCCAATAAACGAAAGTTCAGCATCTGAGGCTGATGCACCAACTGGAGATGCGGAACTTCATGATGCCGTTTTTGTTGTTGGAGCACTCGATGAAGCAATTTTACTCAGAGGCATGAGATATCATCCCATTGATATTGAGAATAGTGTGATGAGGTGCCATAAGAAAATTGCCGAATGGTGAGTTGAATTTTAATCATTTTTCTTCACGTTTTACACATTCTTTATTCAAAATAAAAAATTAAATTAGTTGAATTTTTAAACGATGGGATATTGAAATTTACCAACTTATTTTTCTACATTATTGAGAATTTTATATTTTGTTACGCGATTAAAAAAATAGAAATAATTGTTTATTAGTTAATAAATTTTTTAATACTACTTGAATAATAATGAATATTCATTGAAAAATTGAAATAAAATTTCTAAACATTGATTTTTCTTCAATTTTTTATTTGAAAAAATTTAATTACAGAAGCAATTTACATTTTTTAACATTATAAATAATAAAGATATTTTTTCATAGAATCGTTTTTAAAAAAAAACTTAATTATTTCAACGAAAATAGTATAAGAAAATTTTATAGACAATAAAAATTTTATGTAATCGAAAAGAAACAAATAAGGACTTAGTTAATGAAACAAAATTAACTATTTATGTTTTGATATTGTCTTTGGTATTTTTTTAAATAATTAATTGTTACAATTTTTTTTTTACATTTATTTGAGGTTCGAAATAAATGGAGAGTAATAAATTAAAATAAGACTTTCAGGTATTTTTAAAAGTACGTGACATGAAAAGATTTTGTTGGCGAAAACTATTGTTTTTTTTTTTAGAAATTAATGTAATGATAAAAATTTTCAGTGCCGTTTTCACCTGGACCAATCTTCTTGTTGTGGTCGTGGAATTGGATGGAAGTGAAAGCGAGGCATTGGATTTGGTGGCTCTTGTGACAAGCGCCGTATTGGAGGAACATCATCTTGTGGTCGGTGTGGTCGTCGTCGTCGATCCAGGTGTAGTTCCCATCAATTCACGTGGTGAAAAACAACGAATGCACTTGCGCGATGGTTTTCTCGCTGATCAACTCGATCCAATTTACGTAGCGTACAATATGTAAAATGCCCTTTCAATTCGAAAATATTCCCATCATCCCTCGAGTATCGTCGCACAAGTTTTTTCTATACAAGTCACTCTCGTTTCTCGTCGCTTCGTGACAATATAATTACTCTAACCCTGCTCTCTCTCTCTTTCTCTCTTTTCTCTCATTCTTTATTTCTCTTCTATTATCGCATGAGAAAACGTATCTTGAGGAAATCAGGGTTTTTCTCCAGAAATAATTACGAAGCGATAACTAAACGCGTTTCCTATTTAATCTATACTTTTACGTATAGCTTACGTAATAGTATCTAATTGAATTGTTTTTCAAAAATAAAGATTTTTATTATTATTTTTTTATTGTCGCGAATTTTAATTTTCGTCAAATTGTTTGTTTTTTTTTTTGTATTCGAAACCGAAATTCATTTTATTTTCAAGATTTTGTTTATTTTTTTTGAAATATTTCTTTTGTTTTTCGTTATTCGAGATACGTTAGTCCATTAGCGATTTGAATATTAGATATTCCTTTTATGTAAACGAGTCGCGTTCTTTAAGTATATTTGTGATAATAATGGCTCGAATTTATGATCGACGATTCATGGACGCGATCCAATTGACTGCTGTCGTTGATTTTTGTTTTTTTTTTTACAAAAACCAAATGCTCTTGAATTTTAAAGAAACTTTTTTTTGAGCGTTTTACGCATCACGCACAGCTTTTTTTTAAAATAAGAAACAACATTTTTATCTTTTACAAGATAAAAAAAAAAAATCAAATCTAGAAAAATCGTGAGAAAACCGCTCAATTATCGATTCAATCAATTTTTTTTGATTGTTTCCGATGGCAATCAGTTATTTCAATCTCAATTTGTTTTTAACCCATAATATGTACATTTGTTAATACTTTTATAATTTTATATATATATAGAGATATATATAGATATATACATCCCAAATTATTTTAAGCGTTAAATTGAGACACGGCACGATGATGTGATCGTGCGATCATCATTATCATCATCGATTTTGTACGACTCTCGTGATCGAACGATTTTAAGGCGGCCATTATAATAGTGGTGGTTTAGAGAAATTGTGATTATTATGAAACAAAAATCTCCGAATCGCCACTAGTAGACGTTTGTAAATAAGAAAAAAAGAAAATAATAATTTAAGAGTGACTAGGATCCCTTGTTCTTTTAACTGATTTTGTTTTTGGTAGTCTGCACAATTGTCTCCTCTCTCGTCGTTTTTAAGGAACCGTGCCATTCCGTTCAGCAAGTTTTCTTTTTTAATTTGTTTTGCGTTAAAAAGCAATTTTGTTTTTTTTTTTTTTTTAGTGCCCCCCCAACTTGAAAAATGTAGGCTTGTGCAATGTAGGAAAATTCGAGCGTTACCCTACGCAAGATCACGTTGATCTCATAGCTCGTACGATAGTAATTACACGGTAGAACATCCCTGCAAAGAGGAAAAAAGAAAAAAAAAGAAAGGAATAAAAAAATAGTAGCATGACCCTTATCCTGCGACCCCAGGGTTAATACTGATGTGCATTTCATCTCTGATTGTTGGTTGCGAGAAATTCTCGAATGCTAAACTATTCTTTGAAATGCATCATTTTACAGAGAACTGTTATTCCCCTTAAAACCTTCATGTAAACTCCATCTCATTTCATCAATCTCTAAATTTTTTCAAACTCTAACGATTTCGAAGAGAATGTCTGCTCAGTGGGAAATTATCTTAAATGTTAGTAACTTCTAGGTCTGAAATTCAAAAAGCACTTTTCTATTTCACTTAATTTTTTTCAAATATATAAAAAAAAATATGAATAATAATAATATTTAAATATTTTGAAATTACAAACAAAAAATATTTTTTTTAAATTTCACGAAAATTTTTTTTAAAAACTACTTATAAAATGTTGACATAAAGGAGAGGTAGAAAGTACCTGACATCCTCAGGGGATTTTTTTTCCATTTTGAGTAGACAGTTCTTTAAAGAAAATATAAAAAAAACAATATTTTTGGTAGAGATTGAGATTGATGAAATTCAAATTTATAAAAAAAGGATGGCGATCGTCTAATGTAAAGGGACGAGTGAAAGTAATATTTAATCATGACAGCTCTTAGTAATTAATAAAAGACAGTATTTGAAAAAAAATATATATTAAAAAAAAATTTTTTAAAAAAACGGCTGCTAATTATAAATCAGGGTCTCTTTTGTAGTTTAAAACGTGACACAAGACTCTGCCTCATTTTTCACCTTTTTGCACAAACCTACCCGTGGGGCTGATTGTGAATGTTAAAGGGAGCTTACGATAAAAATTACTTTTCTATTTTATATCTCTTCCAATTGTTGCAGCTTAAAGAGACTTTTACAAAACAGGCAGCTAAAATTTTAGACTTTAAATCATTTATATGATCTATACTTAATGATATTTATATATACACATATATATATTAACTATTTACATAACAATTTATATTTATAATTTATATTATATTAATAATTTTTAATTTTTCCAATTTGACACTTTTTTAATTCAAACATTTTCAAATTGTTTTTAACTGAAAATTTTTTTAGTTTTCTTTTTAAATAAATTTTTACATTACTTTCTCATTAAGAGGAAATATTTTATAAAATAATTATATATAAATTATTTTCTGACAAAAAAAAGGAAAATAATTTGTTTATTACAATTAAACTATTTACATTATATGTATAACAAAAAAATATTTAGCAAAATAATTCAAAAAAAAAATAGATAAAATTTTTGTGTGACACGAAATTTAAAATAGAAAAGAAATTGTTATTGTTTTGAATATTAGTGTCGGGGATATTTGGTTGTATAATGTATAAATGTTGATATTAGTAGTAGGAATGTGGAATATTGATTATTGATTGTAAAATCGTCAAATCCCAAGATTGAAAAAATCTTGAGTTTTTTTTTTTTTGTTCCAACGACTAGAATTCGAGGAGAGTCTAGTGCCGTGTATATATACAGTAATAATAAAATAAAAACAAAAACAAAAAAAAAAATTAAAAATCTCCATTATCAGAGATTTTAAAATAGTTTGTATTGTACGTTAAGTATACTATTGAAATTGAAGTAAAAAAAAATGAATTTTCGCACATATACAAAAAACCGCTCAGTCTATCATATACTATGAATGATTATCTTTAGAGGCCAGTAATTTATCTCCAACTTCTACTACAGAATTCAAAAATCATTTTCGACTATTTTTGTGAAAAAATTTCCATACATTATCTTTATATTAAACTATACCTTTGTTTTCATCAACTCGTGATACAATTCCAATATGAAATTCAAGTGAGTTTAGTTTGAAAACGATACTCACAAGGATTTAATAAAAATTTCATCGTTATGATTATTATTACTGTCACAGCCAATATGGTGTTAATATCGCCAGACTAATAATTAATTTTAAGAACGTATATCGTTCAATTCTTTGTATCCTATATTGGAAAATCTCACGAGAATGAAATCGAGGTAACATCCAAATAAAAACTGTTTCTTATACAGTTTACCGTTTCGCTTTTTCTAATATAATATTTTATTGTCGCCTCGAGTTACATTCTCGACTATATTAACACCGCATACAATCCATTTTTTCATATGTACGTACGCATACTTACATACATACATATACATATACAATCATACATGCATATAAATAGACACACGTTTGTAATCAACTTGATATTTACGAGGAAAAAAAAAAAAAAAAAAAAAAAAAAAAAAAAGTCGCACAGATCGAGACAGTTATCAATAAACGTAATGTACATTTTTTACGAGAGACGATTTTTATTATTTATTTCAAATCCTATTCATTGTTTGAAAAAAAAAAAATTCTTTTTGAAAAAGTTTTCTGTTTTTCAAAAGTATAATTTTCTAAAAAGGAAATTAATTTCTAAACTATTTTTTGGAATAAAAATAAAATAATCATAAAATAATCCTTTTTTTTACCGAATTTCTATGTTAATTTGTTCTTTTTGTATTTTTTTTAAATTTCTTTTATTTTCGAAAAATTCCCTAATCAATTTGATTTATGAATTCTGTTGAAATAATTTCAAAACTTTTTCATTTCTCTGATTTTTTTTAACAAGATAATTTTAATTTTTCCAATGAAACAATTGATATTATTTTTTTCTGCAAAGTTGCTTATAAATGATAAAAAAAAGAAAAATTTGTTTTTAAACAATTTTAACAATCAATTAAATTATTTATTAACAAATATTATTTGTAGAATAATTTTAATATTTACTTTCTATTGTAAAAAAAAAAAATTAAATATTGTTTTAATTATTAATGTAATATATAATTTTGATAATAATAATATTATTAAAAGTTAATTAAAAATTTTTGGAAAGCGTAAATAATTTCATTTGAAAAATATTTGTAGCTAATTAAAGGGAGCATAACATTAATTACGATATTTGCTTTGTATAGAAGGTTTCATGTAATAAATTGATTGCCAATATTAATACGGTTATCACACACTATATATTAAAATTAATGAGAATTGTTTCTAGGTTATGAAAATTTTCTATTTTTCCATAATTGTCATTAGATTTTATTTATTATTTCAATGTCATCTTTCTTTATTATCTTTCTAAATTACAGAAAAAAATAAATAAATAAAAATACAGTCTGTAAAGTGCTTATTATGATGATTTATAAATACATAATTCGAAAATTCAAATCAATACGACCACGTGACCTGCCCGTCAGGTGTGCCACTTTCCAATCAGCAAAAATAGAAATTGTTTTAAATAAATACTATATAACTTTCAATTCCATATTATCTGATCTAGACTTCTGTTATCATGTTAATTAATTAAAAAGAAGAAAAAAAACTTTATTAGTAAAAAATTGATTCTATTTATTTAAAAATAGTGATGAAAAAAAAGAATCATTGGCAAGCCTGTAAATTTAACTCTCAAGAGTCAAGTGCATGTAAAACGACGAAGTCAAGTCAAATCAAGTCAAACGCGAAGAAGAGGCTCGAAAGTTACCAAGCCAAGCCGGTATAGTTGTGTATGTAGAGAGTACAATACATATTGTCAGCATTCTGTTCTGTGTCCAGTAAAAGCAAAGTGTAAACCCAGTCTTTAGCCGTCTATCGAGGCATGAGGGAGTGATTTTGCTTAACAGTTGAAAATTTTCATAACCTATAACAAATTTCAAGTATTCCGGGGTGTGCTTTTCAATTGAGTGCATTTATAACCGGATATTTACATATCAGCAAAAAAATGTTCTCCTGTTTCCTACAACCCATTCATCGTCGCTGTTGTAGAAATTGTTGACACATCGATATAATATACTGACGCTTCCCTTCTTGCAAAAAAAAAGCGTTCTGCTCATCTCGAGGAAGTTAACCGGAACTTTAAACACAAGTAAGTTCACGTGTATTTGACATTTCTAATTGTAAACAAATCTAATTTTTTTCATATACAATCAATAATACATTTTTAATTTCTAATTACCGTGTTGAATAAACGTACTAATTTTGACATAATTTTTTTTTGCAAAATTTCGGTTCTTGATAAATATTTGTATTTTTGTAACGAAAATTAAGAATTCGAGGGCATTCTTTAGAAAATACGTATAGTGAATGTAAATAATTAAAATTTGAAAACAAATATTTTTTGTAAATTTTATTTTTATAATTTCATTGTATTGTAAACACGAATCGTTAAGAGAAAGTCATATAGTTTCAAGTTCAATATTATAACGTTGTTTTAATCAACAATAATCGATCTCTTTAATTGTTTTCAAAAAGAAAACTTTTTATTTAAATTTTTGCTTTTTTCTTGAATAAGGGATTTTTTAGAATTCGGCTTTCAACTATATTATTGACAAAAATTTTTTGCTATTTTTGTATCAATAAAGCTGAAAGGTTACAGTTTTTTTTTTTTTTTTTAAAGGAAGTGAGTCGTTTCAAAGTGAATTCTATTTTAAAACTTACTGATGGGAACCGTCCATGTGTTTTAACAGTCCTTATCGTAAAAACCAGTGATATGAATATATATATACATTTTGCACTTAGGTGTAATTATTACAATTAATTCAAATCAATTTTCAATTTCAAAGAGGAGACTAAAAATTGTTTTTTTAAAAATATATTTTTTCTTCAAATATAGAAAGACTAAAAATTATTTAATTAAAAAATTTTGCAATAATTTTAAATTGTTTATGAATTGTAAAATAATTGAATAGTTGGAGTCGTCAAATATGTGTGGAAAACTTGGAAGAAAATATTTCAAGGGCTGAAACCAGTTTGTGACGTACAATACGTAATTCATGAGAGCTCTTCGAAATTTAAAAAAAAAAAAAAAAAAGAGAGAGAGAGAGAGAGAGAAAGATTGGATCTCGTTTTCTTCTGCTGTATACATTGAGAGTCAGATACCTCCCGGGGAGAGACAATCTTGACTTCTCTCTTTAGAGAACCAAAACATATACGCATTTTAAAATACAGAACGCTCATTTAAATCTCCCCAGTCTCTCTTGATTTAGGCTATATTTAAATTTAAAGTGACACGGCATTAGTTCCGCATTGTCAATCTTTCTGCCAACATTAAATCATTTATGAGATTAATATAATAGAAAAAAAAAAAAAATCAGTTCATAACGTAAAGATTACGTATTGCAATATACTTATTTTTAAAACACAAAATTTAATTTTTATTCTTTGAATTTATTTTATCGGAAATGATTTTCCATTAAAATTTTTACTGTAATTGAAACTTTTTCTGATATGTATTTAAAAAAATTGATTATCGCAAAAAAAAAAATGTCCTTGAATTATTCACGGCGTAACCGGAAGTTAAATACTCTAATATTATTTTAAAATCAAAAGGATTATAAATTATAGTGATTATTTATTTGAAAGGAACTTCCGGTTTAAAAAAAATGTTATCATTCAGAATGAGTTGATAAAAAAAAGGTATAAACGAAATTAAAACGAAATTATTATCTAATATGGAGGGTTTAATCGTTGAGATTAGTAATTACCACTAATTGATTTAAGATAAGATAATTATTTCTGCATCAAGTTCTTATCGTATTCGCTCATTTTTCATTGCATTGATATTAATTAATTATTCATTATTATTATTCGAAAGTTAATCAAAATTATAAAAAATTGTTTTAACAATTTCTTTTTTTTATTTTTTAGGTGTACCAGGTAATTTATTCAAGTGATGGCATATTTTTAAAATTGATTGAAAGAAAGCGAATATATATAAATATTGAAATTTGGAGAAGGTAAATACATCAAAACACGTTTACAAAATATTTGAATAATTGAACTTTAAAGATTATAGGAAAACAAATAATGAGAATTTAATTATTTTTTTTAGATTAGATTTATTTTCTCATTTTAATGATTTAATTAGAATGAAATGACAATATAATGTTTTTGGTAAATTATTTTATAAACGTTTTTGAAACGTTAAATGTTTAACTTTTATTTTTTTAAATTGATAATTACATAATATTGCAATTTCATATTTTTTTATTCATGTTTTTTAAAAATATTTATAAATATTTAATATATCGCAAGTATTTACTATATAAATATTTATTTTACAAATATTTACTATATAAATATTTATTTTACAAATATTTACTATACAAATATTTATTTTACAAATATTTACTCAAATATTCTACAAATATTAGAAAAAATAACTTTTCGTGTTTCATATGCAAATTTACCAAGTTGTAAATAATTAAAAACTTTTATCTCTTCGTTTATTAATTTTGAGAGGATTGTTTTTTTTTTTTTTTTTTATTATTTATAACGACTCAAGGAAAAATTGTTTTGCAAAATTTATTTATATAAAAAAAATTAGTTATTTTAATTTTATGCTATTAGAATTTTTTGGTTTTATAATTTAGTTGGGTAGCTTTATTATCAAAGGGGGTGGAACTTCAAATAAGGGTTAGTGTAGACTGCATGTTGAATCGATATTTTCCTTGACACTACGTGACAGCACCTTTATAATCACGAAGGCAACAAGTAAAATTTATCAACGTTACAAATAACGATAGTTTTATTAAAAAAAAAAATTTTGAATATTCGCGAAACATTAATAATATTTAAAAAAAAACTATACTATTAGATAAATTTGAATTTATTTAATAAATCTTTGAATTTCTCTAATTATAATTAATTTTCATATATATAGTTAGCAAATTGTTAATTAGTATTCAATGCATAAGGTGAAGGCTTAGGTTGTTAGCTTTATTATCAATGTTGACTACAAAGACAAAGAGTTGCTTTTGACTTGTATGCATGAGCTTGAATTATTTATATAAATGATTATAAGCGTCTCAAACGACGTTTATGATCAACTATTTTTAAAGAAATACATTTTTTTTTACAATGAAAATTCTTTTCGTTACAAAAAAATTGCATTTATTAATAAAATAAAAATTATAAAAAAAAACATTTGTTTAGATAAAAAAATTTGTTATAATAAATAATTTATTATTATTAAATTTGGTTTTTAAAATTTTTAGTATTGTAAATAATTTATTATTATTAAATTTGGTTTTTAAAATTTTTAGTATTTGAAAATAATTTTCTCTGAATATTGAAGCCAAGAATTTCTTTATTGTTTCACATTCTGTTCGTCTAAAGAACATTTGTCATTTTTATTTCGTTTCTCGTGTGTTTTCATTGGAATTAATAATAAAATATCAATCTTGAAGAATAATTCAAACAAAAATGTTTTAAAATTAATATTACGACACAGGCAAAAAATAGATATATACGGAAGCAAATAAAGTTATATTATTATATATATATCTCTATTATTATTGTTTCCGATAAACAATAAAAATTGATAATGAAAGATGAAATTTAATTTAAAAATTATTTTTATAGGGCAGTAGATTTTTTACAATTACAATTTTTTTAATAAATATTTTAATTTTTTTTATTAATTAAAAAATAATATTTTATATATAATTAAAAATTGTTAATTAGTTAATTATTAAAAATAATTCTAAAACTTTTTTCTTTTAAATTTGCTAAAACAATTAGAATAGAAAGAAATATTTTATTCGTTTAATTCGTCATATTCAGTAATTGAGAACAGAATTTAACAGTTAATCAACCATGGAAATTGATCTATATATTCAGTTACAGACATTAAAATACCTTCTGCTTTGTTGCTAAAATTATTATTATTATTATTATATTTTCTCTTTAAAATTTCAAAATTAGTAATTTATTTTGCTTTTTTTTGATAAATCTTTTTTTTCATATTTTTGTATGATAAATATAAATTAATAAAAAAAATTATTAATAATAATAATAATATAAATAATGACAACGATAATCGGAAATATCAAAAAATAATTGATGCACTTTTTTAATTGAAAGCAGAATATTGCTTTAAAAAAAAATATCAAAAATTTTCAAATGGCAAAAAAAGTAGAATAATAAAGAATTCAATGTTATCTTTATTCACATCTCATGAATAATACACTAGGCTATAAAAGTACAAGCAAAGAAAAAGGAAATTTTCATTAGCGTTGAACATGCAATTTACTCATGTTCATAAAGTCTTAAGGGTAGAAACCTCTGTTAAACCTTGCTGTTATATTAATTATAATTCTTATAATTTAACTCAAATTAGATACAATTTTTTTTTATTTTATTTTTATTTTATTTAAAAATTATTTTTAATTTGAGTAATTTTGTTCATATACAATTTTTTTTAACACTTTCTAAGTTATTAACCTTCAAGGTGATTTGTTAGTATATATGTATATATTGGTTCAGTGTTCCTAATATCACGCAATTGTCTCTCACTTTTCAATTAGTTTAATTGGTTATATTTGCTGACCATTAACACGCAACATCCCGTGACAATGATTCACAGAACTGGATGTTGATCTTGAATTCCTTTCTTTACGCAACATTTAAGTTTCAGTTCATCTCGTAAATAGAGTAAAAAATACAAAAATTTTTCTTATGAATCACATCAGCAGGGTTATTTTCAAAAAAAATTTTTTTTTAATTTTTTTTTTTGAAATTGTAGAATTTAGAGAGTGTACAAAAAAAAAAATTCACTTTCTTCATTTAATTGGAATGAGAATTTAATTTTTTATAAATGGGACAACATAATTACTTTTCAGTTCTTTTTGAAGAAATTTTCTAAATTTATTTTAAATAAATTTTGAAATTTCACTGATATTGTGATAGTTACACATAAAATTTTAAATAGTATTTAAATAGTCTATATTAAATTTTTAATGGAAAATTAATTTATTAGAATTTTTATTTAATAGAATTTTCTTTTTTTCGAATTTTTATTTGTAAATTTTCGTTTATTATAAAAATTCTCATTAATTCAAACAAAAATTCTATCTAATGAAATTTTATCAAATAAAAAAATTCGAGCAAAATTAATTTTAGACGTTTAAAATTAATTTAAATTAGTAAATCTATTTTACTATTTTCCATTGTGGTCTTAAAGAATTTTACAGTCCAGTTAGTACCAGTCGCTACTGGTTATTCGCTTGGTTATAAAAAAAAAAACAATTGAAAAGTTTAATAATCGGTTCCAAAACGCGAAATAAATTTTTGAAAAATCATTTTTGTTTACTATTTCAATAATATAAGATAAAGAAGAATAAATAATTAGGTAAATAAATTTAAAACTATTTTTATTTATTTTACAAAATTTACATATTTTTTTTTCAATTTTTAATTTTAATTTCTATATAACATTGCGAATAAAAAGATTCTTAACTTGAATTTAAAAAAAAAAATTGTGATTAATCAGTGAGATTTTTGTAAATCTTGCTCACGAGTGAATTATAATAAACTTGCAGACTCAACATTCCACGAAATAATAATCTAGAGTTTAAAGGTGAATAATTTAATTATGAATAATGAAAATAAATATAGAATTTTCATTTCATTTTATATTTATTTTATTTATTAACTTATTTGCAAATTTAAATTTATAAAAAAATAATATTTCTTTTAATAAAAATGATAATTTAAAAATTTTGAATTATACATTTTTATTTTTTACAATTTATTAAACGTATTCAAAAATATAATTAAAATCCATAATTTATTAATTATTTTAAAAGTTTCATTTATTTGTTCCCACGGATACAATTATCTTGAGCTTTTTTAATTGAAAAAATAATCCCAATAGATGTGACTTTTAATTGTCTTCAATTAATATGATGTGGCAAAACATGTATAGAGCCTGTTGGCGAGAACCAAAAATTTATTTTATCACATTATTAAATTATTATTATTAATAATTTATTAATAATTTATTAAAAAATTATTAATAAATTTATAAAAAAATTAATTATTAAAGTTTTTTCTAGAAAATAATTGTTTTTTTTCAAATTTTTTTAAAAATTAAAAAAAATTTCAGAACTAATTATATAAAAAGTTCAGTTTCCAACAATATTTCACTGTTTCCGAGATTGTTGTAGATTTAATTGCGAATATTTATTATGTTAAATCTACTGAAGTAGATAGAAGTATATTTGAGAGAAAGGCGTGTTCTGATTTCTTTTTATGGACCCATTGAATTTCTGGCACAAGGGCACACGGGCCACACAAATTACGTTTTTGAGATCGTTTTTCAAATCATGATTAAAAAACAGTAAAAAAAAAATTGTCACGAAACTCGCGTATATAAATTACATTAATTTTGTATTTATATTTTTTATTAATTTTCTAGAATTAATTAATTAATTAAAATATTAAATTTATTAAATAAATATTTGAAACCGAAATTTTTTTTCAGTGTATCAAATTGATAAAAAAATTTTTATATCAATTTGATACTTTGAAATTTTACTTGAAAAATTCTATTCTTGAAATAAATATTATTTTCGATCTCAATAATAAAAAAACATTTTTTTTTTTTATACTTTAACCCATTTTTATAACAGATGGTTCTTTAATGAAAACTTTTATTGTTGCTTTTATTGGAAACCAGACTTTTTTTTTTGCGATAATCATAACGAGGCCTGCATATAATTAGATTGTAATTTTCCTATTTTTCAAATAAAAATTGAATTCTTGTACTATTTATGACTCTTAAGCTTTTAAACAGCTTACAAGATTATAAAATTAGTTATAACTATAACTTTAGTCAACTGCGGAGTATAATGACAATATATATAAAAAATTCATAAATTTCGTAACCTGAGAAACGAAAAACTAATATAAAAAAGTAATAATTATTTTTATCACAACAAATATTCAAAAATAAATTTTATTTGGTTTAAATAAAAATTTTATTTGTGATAAATTAAATTTTTTATTTTGAAATAAATATTAATTGAAGTAATAATTATTTGATAGAAATATTTATTTGTTAATAGTCAAGTAATCGATTATTTGAATCAAATAAATTTTTTTTTCAGTTTTATAGAAAATATATTCTCTAAAAAAATTTTCATTTAAATAATATAAATTGTTTCTTTGGCTTGAAAGTGTTGATACTTGGTAAACAAGTATACAATGTGTAACAATTTATAATCATGAGGGTGGATTTTCTAGCTGTTGAAAAGATCCCATGGAGTTTTAATCAAGTGTTTATATTAGGAGGTCGACGCATTCATCTGGATCAAGAGACACTTTCAGTGAAATCGAGTAATAATCTTATATTAAGGGAGCTTTTGCTCTGATAAATTCGTCAAATATTTTTTTTTTCTACACACTTGACTGGTATTTTATTAGTATAATTAATCATGTTATTTACACAAAACTTAATTTATAGAGCAAACAATTTATTTATAAAAATATCATTTTTTTTACGAATTTACAATTTTTTTAAATACCAAAAAAAACAACTACTTTTGTTCCGAGTCTGAATAAAAAACCCACATTTTGATTTTAAAAGGAGTAAATTTACTCGATTTTAATAAACCACTGAATATCAAATTTCTTGATTCGTCTTAAGTTCGCAAATTGTGGTGATCAGTTGAAGATAATTCACGCCATGAGTGTGAATTATTTATAATTTTTGTTTGGAAAAAAGAATAAAATAATTAGAAATTGATTATTAAGAAAAAAAAATTTAAATACAATATTTAGATTAAGAAAAATTAATTAAATACAATTTAATTAAAATTCTAATTATTTTCTTTCTCTTTAATTACAGTAGCAAACAGAACGGCGGAACTGCAATCGCAGTGTTTCCTCCACATGTGGACATCGCCATCCCGACTCAGAATCGGCCGAGCTCCTAGGAAAAAGTAAGCCGGTTGCCAGTAAAATTAAAAAAAAAGAACCGCTGCAATGAACAATAAACCTGAAGAGAAAACACTTGGTAACCGGAGGAAGCTCTCCTTCCTTGGTTTTGGAACCAGAAGTTCGGTGAGTTATAAAAAAAAAAATTATTATACACTAAAAACTAATATTTTTACGTTGAAATTTCTTTTTAGATGAAACAAAAAAAACGATATTTTCCGTAAACTATTTTTGAATTCCGTAAAATATTTTCCGTATATTTTCAAAATTTTGTAAAATATTTTCCGTATATTTTCAAAATTTCGTAAAATATTTTCCGTATATTTTCAAAATTTCGTAAAATATTTTCAAAACTTCCGTAAAATATTTTCCGTATATTTTCAAAATTTCGTAAAATATTTTACGTTTTTTTTTAATATTGCGTAAAATATTTTCCATATATTTTTAATATTCCGTAAAATATATTCCGTATATTTTTTATATTTTATAAAATATTTCCACATAAACCATCTTAATATCCTTAGAACGTCCATAAGTTATCCTAAAATATCCAATGCATAAAATTCAAAAAGTCCAAATTTCAAAACGTAACGATAAAAAAAACAGTTTCTCTTTATAAAATTTAATACAAATGGGAGAAAAAAATGTACTGAGAAAAAAACAAATTTTGACTCACATTTTATTTGCCTTGCAAATACTGTGGAAAAAGAGTCGACTCTCAGTAAACATTTAAATCCTTTTGATAAATCTGCTAAAAAGGTTGCAAAAGATGAAATTTAGTGCAAGGTTGAAGTCCACTCAGTTTTAAGAAAAAATATTTTTTTAAATTATTATTATTATTATTATGCCAAAAATTTTAAATAATCTTCAATTATTAAAATTATTATTTATTTTACGTATATGTAATATGAAAAATAATTTTATAAAATCTCCTTTTTAATCAGATAAAATAATTAAGATTCATTTATTTAATTAAGTCAGTGGTGAAATTTAAATTAAAATTGAGTCTCTTAACCACGAATCTGACAACAGCCTGCCGTTTGTGGTTTTGGTTTTTTTTTTTTTGCAACTTGATATTTGAATATTATTTTTAATAAACAATGTAAAATTTTTGTTTTATATTTTTCCAACGTTCCACCATAATAAAACAAAGGAGAAAATTTAATGAAAATTAAACCTTTTTTTTTTTTTTTTTTTTTTAATAATTTATGATTTCCACGACTGTCGATATATATTTATTAAAAAACAGAAATCTTGAAAATAGAATGTATCTAGTGATTTCTATATTATATGATAGGATATTTACAAGTTATTTCATATTGAATGTCTGCCGAATGTTAAATGGCTATTGACTCGTGTCCGACAGCAATCAAAGCAAATCGGTTTGCGAGGTCGTGTCTCACATCTTTTGAATGTATTACTTTATCATTTTATATATTATTATTTATTTTATTTCATTTTTTCCTATTGTTTGCAGATTCAAATTCTGGTCTGATTTTGGTTCGAATTTTTCATCACTACTAAATTCAAATTATTGATTACTGTTTGTGGATATAAATACAAATTCCAGACTCATTTTGTATTCCAGATTTTTTTGCAAAATAGTTTAAACATAAAAATTCCATTAAAATTTTCTCAACTCATTTTGGATTAGATTTTTTGGGCGGCATAAATTCGGATTAATATGGATTTGTTATTTTTCACATAAAGATTTCAAATTATTGCGTGTTACGCAATAATTTGTACTGAATCCGAATAGTTTACAAAAAAAAATTTCCTAATTATTCGGAATTCATTTTGGATTATTTTTTGATCGAATTTCGTTAGTAAATTTTCATTTCGTTTGGAAAATTCCTTTATTAAAATTAATAACAATTTTAAATTATTTAGATTCTCGGAGATTTATTAGGGATTTTTTAAAAATTCAGAAGCATTAATAGTTTAGATAATTGTCAGTCTTCAAGATTTATTGCTAAATTTTGTATCTTCAATTCAGGAAGTTGGTACTTAATTCTTCAATATTAATCAAATACAGCATTCCAAACAATTTTATCATCCAATTAAATTAGAAATATAAATAAATCTTGAATTTGATTTTAACAATTTTCTCGATAAAAAAAAAATTCAGTAATATTTTTTTTTTTATTGACAATTTGTAATCCAAATATACGTATAGATCAAAAATAGGAGTGTTAATAGGTTCCATGTTTCTAAATTCAGAGAGATGTTTCGAAGGCAAACATTTGTTTACAATTAACGTTTATTTAACTTGATATATTTACTATTGTCAACTCTCTAACGAGTACTTGACGTAATCGAAGTAATTTACAAATGAAGTAGAAAAGGAATAATCGATGCAGTCGTTGGCCACTACTGACCTTACTGCACTTACGCAAGGCCGGAAGCCTTCCTGTAAATTCGATTACAAGACCGGTGTCAATCGTGCTTTAGTATTGTTATAGTTAGGATTATATATTAGTCAGCAAGTCCACCTTGTTTGAAGTTCAACTGCAGATTTTCTTTTTTTTATTTGTCGTTCAATTAAATTTATTCATGCGTTACAAAATTCGTCCCAACATAATTGCTGCCACAAGGGGAAATCAGGTGAATTCAAAAATTTTTTATTAGTGAAGTTTTTTCATTTTAGTAATAGAGAAAATTGTTTACCTCTTTAATATTAAAATTTAATTTTTAAAATTTTTTAAAAAATTCCAAAAAAAATAATTTATTTGATTTAAATAGGTTACTTGACTATTATCAAATAAATATTTATTTGTATCAAATAATTATTATTTGAGTCAATTTAAAAATTTAAATTTATTTTTAAAAAGCTTATAATATTTTTAATTTTTTTTTTTTTTTCATTTTGTTTATAGACTATAATTATTATTAGTTTATGCTTTTTTTCGCACGCTTTAATCAATAATTGTGTAACTAATTTCTAAAGTCTATTATCTATTTTTAATTTTTTAATAAGAGTTAATAGTATGGTAATAAAGGAACTTAGTAATTTTATTATTGTCGATTAGTGTTATTATGCGAGTTCCAAAATGTCGCAAACAATTACGTATAAATGTTTCGACTTAATTGTGAATATGAATAATATTTTAATGGACATTTTGGGATTAATAAAATAAGTTACAATAATAATTTTTTTTTTTTGTCGGTAAACAAATTTTATTAATTGATTTAACTACTTAGTTTATTGGATTTTACATTAAAGTAATACGTTCAACTAATAACAGTTTTTATTATTACGTTCTTATTGATAATAAAGAAATTATATTTTTCTTTATAATTTTAAATTTTCAATTGTAAATTAATATCAATTATAAAATAGTTAAAATTATAATTAATTTCAAATATCTAAATAATTATAATTAATTTCAATTATAAATAATTTAAATTGTAATTATTTACTAAAAAAAAAAAATTGTCACTTATCAATTTTTAAATTATTTTATCTCTAAATCATCGGAATATTTTTACAATATTAAAAAATTTGGAGTTTATTAATAAAAATTTTTTGATTATCGAATAAGTAGAAAAATTCTATTTTAAATTTCCGATCAAGGCTATATTGTGTATATATACAATATTTAGGTAAGGGAAACAAAAATGAAGCTGGAGAATTATTGAGAATTGATTGATTGATTTTGAAGGTGAAAAAAAAAAACCTCAGCTTAAAAAGATTATTTGTTAGCTATTTTCTTATTGTTAGAATTCTGACGTGATTTATAAATTTTTTTCTTTGAGGAAAACTATTTTTTTAAATACACCATCTGAGGATATTAATTTTTTTAAAAATAATTTAAAAAAAAATTGGTTCTTTAGTTGACAAATTTAGAAGAAGCCTTGCACACGTGGAAATACTCTGCAGCTTTTTTCAGGTTCAAGGTCTCTAGAAGAATCCAAGTAGGAAGTGTTGATTGTGTGGGGGAAGAGGAGGTCGAGAAGAGGGAGTGGTTGCTGGCTCCAAAAGGGTTGAAAGCTCGCGAGTTTCCACTTTCCTCACTTTTTTCTCCCTCACTCATACATCAAAATATGTTTACATTCATATAAAAATTATTTCCAATAATAATAATAATAATAATAATAATAATAATAATAAAAATAATAAAAATAGAAATAATAAAAATAGAAAACTAAAATAATTTTATGTACAATAGAATTATTGTTCTCTTTTATTTTCTATATTTCTGTAGAATATAATTTTATCTATACAATTTTTTCGAATTTCATCCAGCCTCTTTTTCATTGAATGCATTATTTTTTTTTTCCCATCAAATTCAATTTTTATGATTCATCAGTTGATACTTTCAGGGGCAAGTGACACTTGTTGCATTGAACATGTTCAACTTTAAGCTGCCTTAACATATTACCGTAAATTAAAATTATCATAATTTAAAAAAAAATATTTTTATATTTTGAATTTTTGAAATCTGACTAAATTCGTAATCTCCAAAAATCCTCGAGAGTAACAAATTTCAAAGAAATTAAAACTAATTTATCCTTCTTATTATTATACTATATTAATTGTTTATTTATATTATAATTAACAATTAAAAATAAGTGAAATTATAATACAATAAATTGAAGTAATTAAATAATTTTTCATTTGTAGCCTCTCATCATTTGAATCATTTATGGGAATTTTTTTCGAAACACGCAATTTTTCATCATCGACTAAAGAAATAGATAATGGAGATAATATTAAGAAGCGTATAGAATTCGATTAAAGTGGCTGTCATTATTATTATTATTATTATTATATTTAATAAAACCGATAAGGTGGATGAGGGTTCGTTACCTGGTAAAGTTACCCTGGTATAGAGGTGGTTTAATATCGACCAGGCGCAGCTGATCTGTGGTAGCGTCGACGCGATTAGTTCCGACCCCTACCGACTTGTCCCGATTTGTTTGAGTTGAAAATTTCACTCCAGCCCGGGATACCATGCCCGAGGTAGGTACTAGTTCATCTAGGAAATCGTTTTTGAAACGTGCACGAGGCAAAGTTCTATTTTGGCTTCGACGATCTCTCGGTACGCACCAGGTGTGTGTCCAAAAAAATTTTCTATGTGTTTTTCTTCTTCATTCAAAAATTAATTTTCATTCAAGTTTCGATTTTTTTTTCTGTGATAAACAAAATCCAGGAAAGTGTTTCTTTTTTTTGAAATAATAAAAAGAATTTATTCCCGCATCTTTTATTGCAATTATATATTGAGGAATTTTTTCAAAAAATTTTGATAAATCTATTTTGAAAAATTCAAAAGAAAAATTAAACATTATTTTTATTAATAGAAATTATGTTTAGAAAAAAAATTTGATAAATAGATTTATTAGGTTTTGGGAAAATGATATAAAAATGAGTTTTCTTCCGGAAACCCCTTATTTCTTCATGTTGACTTTTCCGGCAGCTACAAAACTTTCTATATAGAAATTTAATTTCGAATGTTTATCTTTTGGTAAAAAAAAATATTCTTTTATTGTAATAATGTAACATCTATAATTAATTGCTTTTTTTTTTTATTAAATTCTCCAGCTTCAAATTTTGTCCCTCAATAATTTTGTTTATTATTTTTTGCGAAAAAATAAAATAAACAGAAATTTATTAATTAAAAAAAAATAGAAACTTATTAATTTAAAAAAATAGAAATTTATTAATTAAAAAAAAATATATGTTTCAAAAAATCATAAATAACAAATTTTGTTATTTATGATTTTAAAACAAAAAAATAAATCTAATTTATTTTTTTATTTCTTTTTATTATTTATTTGGAATTTAATATTTAAATTATTATTTTTATCCAAAGAACTAAAAAGTGAATTTAATTATTTAAAATAAAAAAAAAAATTGGATTAAAATAAATAGAATGTAAAATCCTAAAAGTAGAAAATTTTAATATCAAAGATTATTTATAGTCGGAATGAAAACATTTCAAATAGGATAGATGAAACAATAATAAATTTACATTCAACGAATTCATTTAAAAGTGAGTTATGGAAGAGAAAGATAACTATGAAATTCAATTTCCTCTACGCGCTTCCTATGAGAAATCAATGACTTGATGCACTTTATGTCTTGAAATAACTCTCGACCTTTACCATAGACTTGCTCTAAAAGTCAATTTTCCATTGAAAAAGTCACTTCAGACCAAGTATTTTATTATTTTTATGTCACTTTATATATTGCTTTACTTTGTCTATATTTTGACATAGGAGTTTCACTTTTCTCCACACATTATTCCGCTTTTAAATCGTTTTTTTTCTCCTCTTTTTTAATATTCATCTCTTTGAACAAATCAAAACCAGATATTCTATTTATAATGATATCAAAAAAGTTTTTTTTTATTAAAAATATTGTTAATAATTTCTTAATTAATTATTAAATAATAATTAATTAAATATTAATTTTAATGGCACAATTTTTATTTTTAATTTTTAAATTAAATTTGATTAAAAAAAAAATGATCTATCGCGAGGAAACTGATTTTGATAAAAGCGGGATGTTAATAGGAAGAATACTATATTGATTTTATATGACTTGGAAGGGAGATTAATGAATAATTAAAAAGTCATGTCAATTCGTGATTAGAATAAAAATGATGTGAGTCATGAGATTTGATTTACATTTTACACATTGCACTTCTGTGTCTCGACCTGACGCAACTCGCGGTCAGTCACGAAAGCTCAAGTTCAAGGTTGATTCCCGCATCGACCCGGCCTTCGGATACTTTCCGGTTCCGGTCCCAGTCGGGCGAATGCTGCGGTCCTGACAAAACAAGAGGAATTGTGTCGCGGGAATTGGGATTTTCAAATTCGCGTTTTTTTTTTGCAAAATTTTTTTTTTTCAATTTGAAAAGAAAAAGAAATATTGTGTTTATTTCATAAATGTTTATAAATTTTGAAATTTTATAAAAAAAAATCATCTGTTTATTTAGATTTATATTTTAAAAAATTTTCTAGTAAATTTAAAAAATGTATTTATTAAATTTATAATAATTATTATTATAAATTATTTCAATACATTTTTAAAAATTGAATTTTGAATTAATTATTTTTTTTTTATTGATTAATTTGCTTTCGATTTTCATTTTTTGTAATAAAAATTTTATTTTTCAGGTTGACGGTCATGGCACGGAAACGGTACAAGAACTCGATGAGGAGATGGAGAAGGTCTTCGCGATGGATGCTGGAGACAAATTCGACGTAGCCCGATTTGGATCCCCTTCTGAATCGGTTGGATCTGGTCGTGAACGCGATCGTGTTCCATCATCGCGTCATGGCGATCACGATATTAATCGTAAGCTGATATTTGCAAATAGTGAAAATTTTCATTTTTTAGAATATTATTTAGATATTTAATTATTTCATAGACAAATTTTCATTTTTAGTATTTAGTATTTGACAAAATTTCATTTTCAAAACGAATTTTTACTTAACAAATAATTTTTTAGATGCTAAATTAAGATTTCGGTCAAAATTTAAATTCTGTCTAATAAACTCTATAAATATTCAGCGAATGCAAAACAATCTAATTTTTAAATTCAAGTTTTAGAAAATGACGAGAAGTTTTAATTTTAATTAAAGATGAAAAATTTCGTTACTAAAATATTTTAGTCGTGTTTTGGAAAAAAAATTTGTTAAATGATAAAGATATTAAAAAAAAGAAAATTTCCATTTTAATAAAAGTTTAATTGTAATTTATTATTATATTTTCATTTAATAATTGTTAAACATTAAATTAGTAAAATTTTAATTAAAAAAAAATTCAATTAAACACTTTGTCACTTTAAAAGCTAGATTGAAATTTCATAAAAATTTCTCATGACATATATATGACATGCGCTTAAAAATGAAATCTTTTAATGAAAAATTCTATAAAATTGAAAGTACACGTCAAAAGTAGAGTTTCATTTAAAAAAGTTTCGTTGTTAATTTAATATTTAAAGGAATCGATTGTTGAAAATTTTAGAATGCTTTTATGGTAATTGAGAAATTATTTTCAAAAAGTAATAAATTGGAGTTGTTGAAACTATAGTGAAAGGGAGATCAAAATTTATTTTCAAATTAGAGAGGAATTTCATTGAAATAAATTTTTATTCTCCAGAAAGTGAAAATCTAATAATTTTTTTAATTTCTTCGTAATAATAAATTTTAATACAATTATCACTAAATTATGATTTTTATTTCATAATCGCAAACTTTAGCATTTGACATGTTCAATATTTATGATGTGACGAAATTTTGGCACTGTTTTCTTCTTTCGAAATTCTACTACTATTATACTTTTTACTATACCTATGAGTAAGAATTTTTCTTACATTAGGATTGCTTGAAAAAAAAGATTTTATTTATATTTTAATTATACTTATTTCATTTCTCATTAAGATTTAATATTCTAGCGACTCGTCATTTTATGATTTTGCCAATAATGAAGTTACAATTAATTTTTTTTTCCTGTTTTTCTTTACTTTTTTTTTTTTCTCTTATCATTTTTTTTTCTCTGACCTTCATTTAAAAAATGAAATATTAAATCTTCTATATAAGAATATTAAACTACAATAGATGTGTGAATATTGATTTTGTTTGATAAAAGAATTCATTTAGTCTTGGGAAAATTTGAAAAATTGTTTCGTATTTTTTTTTCAGAATACAGAAAACGAAGTTATCCTCACCCTCACATGCCATTGAAGAGTCTTCATTCAAGATCTATGAGACGTCATTTATCACCGTAAGTCCTTAGAATTTTCATGAAGCACTTTACTATCCGGATATCTATTTTCACTTTTGTAAAACATGTGGATCTAGAGCAGGAAGCTTGATATTCATTTTGAAAAATTACTTTTTTCTGATTCACTAAAAGATTCCTTTAGAAAATATATTCTCGACAAATTTCAATTTTTGAATAATTGATTTTCGTTTATGGAAATTACATTTCACTATGTATTTAATATTTGAGTTGAAAAACTTTTTTTACTAAAAGTTTTATATTAATTAACTTAATAATTTTTTAATTTCAATTGAATCAGAAAAAAAATTAAATCACGAAAAATGTTTATTAATTATTTTAAAAATTTTAATTTATATTTCTAATTCTTAAACTTATAAACTATTTTTTTTAATTATATATACTTGAAAAGAGTATTTTAAAATAAAAAAATTTGTTATTTACATGTTTTTTTTTAACGAATTCAAAGAATGTGTAATGATTTTTAGAAAATGTTAATTCATTGTTAGTAGATATTATTTGCTTAGATTTGTTAATTTTTATAGTCGTCCTTGAAAAATTTACTTACTAATTATTGTCGACCTTATTTAATCAAGAAGCATGAAATAAGTACTTTGGAATTTCTTGGAGATCTTAGAAAAAATTGTACCTTTTATTTATTTATTTTTTTTATAAGAAATAGAATGAAAAAAAAATCCTTAGAATATTATCTAAATTCTATTCGCTCTATTCTTATAAATTATATAAAATTAGTAATATCGCATTTTTATTTTGTCATAAAATAAATATTCTTCATTTTTCTTGAGGAAAATTCTTCAAGGATTTTGTTCATTACAATTTTTCCTCGATAAAAATGAAAAAAAATGATTCAAAATTAATCTCATAAGATTTTTATATTTTGTGAAATAAGTTAATTAAAGAGTTTTGATAAAATAAATTGAAATATGATTAAAGATTTGGAATTAATGTTTCAGTGAAGGTTCTACTACAGAGGCAAGTCCTGAAGAGGAACAATTAGGAAGCGATCCGAGTGTAACGAGTAATTTACAAGAATTGGATGTTCCGGATAACAGCGAAAGTTCAATATCCAAAGATGATCAACAAGAAGATGAAAATGATGATAATAATAAGGAGACAAATGCAAATGTAGCGGAAAAAATAATAGAAAAAAAAGATCAACAACAAAGCAGTGAGAGTGAAGCGCCAACTTCAGAAAGAGCCGCTTCTGGATTCAACGAAAGTCCATTTGGAAGTCCAAGAGTACAATTTGAAAATATTAAAGAAGAAGAAAGTACTTCGCCAAATCACGAGGAACCAGCTGAGGAAGATCGAAAAGGACGCAGACATCGCGAACACAAGTAAGGGCGTCACTTATTTATCTCCTTTTTATAAATTAATTAAATTTAATTAGAATATTTTAACGTCATTTTTCTAATTAAAAATTTTGACTTAATAGTGCGAATATTTGATATTTTTTCTCTTCAGTGATTTCAATATTATTTTTGAAGTATTTAATATGAAATAATATTAAAAAAAAAAAAATTTTGTAGTTTCCTATATTTAACCATTTAAAATCTCGTTGTTCTTACTAGTCTGGCTAATTACGAGTGCAACAGTTTTCTACACAGGTATGAATTACTCGAAGAAGTTTATTTAATCCACTATACTTTTAAATAGGATCAATTTATTTTCATGCTTGCTATATATATATGCAACCCAGCAGAGTATATTTATCTCCATTCTCAGAGTTCACTCTCTATAGTTCATGTCTGTTTATATTAAAATTTTTTTAATTCTATACAAAGAGAAACTGAAATAATTTATCCAAGGATAATTTTTTCGTTATCGAAATTCATTTTCGTTTCACGCATGTTCGTTTCGATTTTTTTTTATCCTAAAAATTAAGGTATTTTTCTTACAAATCCATAAATAAATTTGGATTATTTCTTCATATTGAAAATAGATAAAAAAAAACAAATTTTTTTTTTTTTGAGGATAGTGACAATTTATAGTTTCTGAAGAAAAGATCGACTTGTGTATAATATAAAAATTTTAAACTCTCCTGAAATTTGTTTTAATAACCGAAAAAAATTTATTGACTTCGTACCAATCTCGAAAGAAAGAGAAAGCATTAATGGAATTTCTCCCTGCAATTTAAAAAACTATAAATTGTTTCTAACTTGGAAATCAATAAACCCTGTCCTTGAATTAAATTCCTATTACGATTGTCACGGCATAGATATAGAAAAAATTGTTTCCGTGTTTTGAAAAAATATCCTGAGAACGACTTATTAGATGGGACGCATGTAAATGCTACAAGTTAATTATTTGACATAATTTTCAAACAAAAAAAAAAAACTACAGACAAAATCAAATAAAAATAAATTTTAAACAAAATAATAATAATTCTGATAAATGACAGTGAATATCCAAAATAATTTATTATAATCAACGTCAATGAAAGATTAACATTTTAAAAAAACAAGAAAAAAAACTGTCTTAACAATACAAACACACAGACAAAATTAATCACGCCCAACCAATAATTACACTATTTTGATTGGCCTCAGCAAAAAACAGATTTTTTTTTTATATTTTCAGTTTTTCGTGTATCTTTGACCTAATTATTTTTTATTGAAAAAATGGTTCACAAAAAAGAAAAAACAAAAACCAATGTCAGATACAGTCCAGGGGGTTTTATTTTCTGTGAAGAATTAAGTTTTTATTTACTTTTGAAAATTAATTACCGTCAATATGAAAAATATGAAAAATGCAAGTTTTTAGCTAAAATACAATGAGAGACAACAATATATTAAAAACGTAATTTTTGGCACACTTTTAAAAAAAAAGACAAGTTATGCAAAAAACTAAAAATTTTCAATCTATACCTATTTAAAAATTCTAAAATTATTAACAATTCAATTTTTCATTTGTATATTCAAACTGTTTTTTAAATTTTCCATTTTATTTATAAATAATTTAAATTTACAAACGCACATTTCAAATTCTTTATTTAAATAAATGAGTAAATCCATAATTTAAAATATATAGAATACAAAATATTGTGTAACAAATATGTAATCTAATTTTAGACAATAATAAAACGAAAGACTCAAACCCAGGTCTAAACGTATATAATCTAAAATGACGGAAAATTTTCAAAAGATAATAAAATGTTTCTAAATTATTTTAATTGTTAATTTTATTTTTCAAAAAAAAAAATTGAAAAAAACTCTTGACAGATTTAGAAAAGTTTCTAACTTCATATTAGATAAAAATTTTCGATTAATTCGGAAAAAAATTTCCATGCCCTTTTTATTTGTTCGGAAAAAATGTTTAGAAAAAATCTCAATTTGTAACTTAAGGGTCAAAATTTCTCAAAAGAAGCATGAGGGAATTTTTTAAATTTTGTGGAATTTCTGATTGATTATCTTTTTTGTCAATTTTTCTTCCAATTTCTTCTTTACCATGATGACTTTCTATTTCCTTAAATCGATTTTCTTTTCATTTTCAAAATATTCGTTTCTAAAAGTGATTTTTCAAATTCTTCTTTGGAAAATATATTTATTTTTTAATTCACCTTTTGGCGAATTTTTTAAATTATTGTTGTTTATAATTTGGTATTTCAAATTTTCTTTCCATTTTCTAAAATATTTGAATTTATCAACTATTTTAATTCGTTAATTTGTAATGTATAATTTTTCCTTGGAAATTAATTTTTCATTTTAATTTTAGATGATTCTTTGATAAATTCTGACTTACAATACAGAATTATGGCACGAGGCACTCGTGGAGACAATAATTTTAATGAAAATTGGAGAAAAATCCAAATAAAAATTTTTCAATTCTGATAAATTGTATTTGGAAAGTTTTCACATACCCCTCGGAATCTAGACCTTGAAAAAAGTAATGGTGGCAGAAATGATGCGGTGTCATGGCCTTTGGCCAGATTTTTAGCTCTCTCTCTCTCGTGTCGTTGAATTAGAATGAAGCAGAGAGGCAAAGGGTGAAAAAGCTCTTGCTGTCATTGTTTTGAATTTAATTGGATCGACCGGGTCGTATTTGAGTTTCAAAGGTGGGTGCCAAGCTCTGTCAACCAATTGTCAGGAAACTTGTGTTATTTAGCCTGACTGACTTGCTTTTCCATCTAGTTCGGCCAGACAATCTTTTGCATCCATGTCCGTCAACTACGATCGTTCTCAGGATCGCATTGGTGACATTAGACGGTTTGTGATTGTGTCGTGACCATCGGACGATCGGATTATCCCCGCTTTTCTATTTTCATTTAGTGTAATTACTCAAAAAAAAACCACCAAGAAATAATAATTGAAAAATCACTAAACATTTCAAAATAATAATATTTCAAAAAAAATTTCATATTAATAACTAACAATTTGAAGAAAAAAAAATTTGGTGTAAAAAATAAGGAAGTAAAACAAATTTTTAATATTTAAAAGAAAAAATTTAATCATTGTAAATAATTAAAACATCGAATGTAAAAGTAACAATATTTAAACTCATATTTTTTTTCTACTTTTGATATCGATGGCTTACGTCGGGTTTTGTCGACAAGTTCTTCAGTCTAGGGACGTGAACTTGAATTTGATGAGTCGAGCCAGACACGAATTTCATTACCGGGGTCGCGTGCCAAAGAGCCATGATTAGCACACACTTTGTTGCAAATCGCTTTGAAAGTACACGCAGTGAGTGCAAGTTCACGTTTATTGAAATCGATTGAGAGAAAAAATTAAAAACAAATATATAAAATTACATATAATTAAGCCTTTTTTCATTAAAAAAATTTTCTATCAACTTAATTTGGCTTATGAATCAAATAAAAAGAACTGTCGACAAAATTGGTAAACTTTGCCAAAATTTGTAATTTGTTGCTAATTTCTAAAATTATTATTTTTGAGTTATATTTTTTTACAATTCTATAACAATTTTCGAATTTTCCTGTCAATTGTTTGTGTTAAACAAAAAAGAAAGAAAAATTTTTTTCAAAGTATCTTGTCTAATTTTAAATTTTCTTTTTACAGACGACATCATCATCATCATCATCATAAATCACGAAAGTATTCGCTACAAGAAGATCCACAATGGAGAAAACGATCGGGTGCAGGTCTTCCAGACGTCGCTGGTCTTATGGGTCGACGGGTGAGTGTCCAACCGGAAGAGGCACGAACCCTCCAGGAACTTGACATCGACGATCTTGAATCGCATAGGAGCGATGATTCCCGTGGAATGAGAAGACACAAGGCACATCCAACGGTGCAAATTGGTCGAAGAAAAGAGGGTGGAATTCCACATGAGACATTTAAAAAAATGTACGATCACTCGCCGCACGAGGTTTTCGTTCAATTGGACGAACTCCATGGATTTGGTGAGGAACGTGAATGGCGAGAGACGGCGAGATGGATTAAATACGAGGAGGACGTTGAGGAAGGTGCCGATCGATGGGGTAGACCACATGTCGCCTCACTAAGTTTTCATTCGCTTTTAAATCTACGACGATGTCTCGAGACTGGCGTTGTTTTGCTTGATCTCGAGGAAAAGGATCTACCCGGATTGGCCTATCGAGTCGTTGAGCAAATGGTTATTGAGGAACTTATTTTGCCGGAGGATCGACCTGTGGTGATGCGAGCTCTTCTCTTGAGGCACAGGCACGTTAATGAACACGATAGGGGATTTAGATTCAAGAGGAATTATTCGAGTTACACAAGTTTACAGGTGATTATTTTCTTTTTGAATATAAATAAAAAAATAATAATAATAATCCCAACTAGATTTATTATTTTCACAAATCTCGAGAGAAAGTATAGTGAAAAATATTTATTTCGTCACTAATAAACTAATTTATAGTTGAAAAAAAAAATAAATTTAAATTCGAGAAATTAAAATTTAAGAACGTTTTTAATAAAAATTTTCTAAAAAAGTGAAAAAAACAAAATCTCATTTTGAAACATTAAATTAAATTAGTCGTGAAATAAAGGTAGCTCTTTTAAACCAAAACTTTAATAAAAATTTTATATTTGTAAATACAAAGAACGTGAAATTAAAATCTATTTTCAAGTTTTAACTTAAAAATCAGTTTCTAAATTCAATTCAAAAAATAATATTTATTTTTAATTACTCGATATTTTTTTTTAATAAGAACATAAATAGATAATTATATATAATTATTAGTTTCTTTTAGAAAAAATCTTTAAATTAGTTGAATTATGTAAGGCTGTGATAATTAATTGATTTTTAAATGCATTTTCAGGTAAATTAAAAATTATCCATTTTTTTTTATTATCTCCTTAAATAGCATATTAACCAAAATATCCCTCGCACGCGTTACAACTTTAATATTCAGTAATAAAAAATTAGTCATAAAAATTTGAAAAATTATAATCACTCTCAATAAAGTCAAAATTAGTTTCAAAAAAAAATATGTAAAGTAGAAATTAATTTAAAAAAATTTCAAATGAATTGATTTTTTACATTTTTAAAAAATTACTTATCTCTTCACACAGCAAAAAATTTCAAATTCCTGATTTTCAACAAAAGTCCATAAATTCCGCAAGCTTCCTTTCCATTTAAGGCGATTCAAGATTCGTAAGCTATAGAAAAAATTAATTTTTTTTCCTGGAAAAAATAATTTTGAAAAAAAAAATTTTGAAGACTGATGGTATACCCTAATATTGTTTTCAGTCTGTCTGGGTTGAGGAGGAAGATGCTACGCGGGAAGCTGTTCTCAGTCATGTAATTAAAAATGTAAATCACATTCAAGTATCCCCCAATTTTTTTAGTATTTTCATCTCGCTAGTTTTTACATCGCGTTCTATTTTTAATACTTCATGTATGACATTTATTGGACTATATATAGATGTGTTTATTTTTTAATTTAGGGGAAAAACTTTATCCTCGATTTTAGGGATAAAGAAAATATATAAAAAAAATTTTTTCCCTTAAGTTTTTAAGATCGACAATTTTTTTTTTTAGTTTGCAGTTTCATCTTTGTATCTTCGTTATCGATTTCTTTTTTATATTTTATGAGACAACAAAAAAAAAACTAACAAAATCAGCTACTTTTATTTATAGGGTAGCATTCAATAATCCTTGGTGCATGGATATTAGAAATCGCACATTTTTCTACATTTGCAATTTACGATTTTTAACCATTTTTCTACATACAAATTAGTCCTGAATACTTTGACTAATTATAAATTCTTTTCGATTTTTGATTTCTTTTAATTATTTGAGTTTTCATATTTACTAAATTCCAAATCTATAGAAGAATCTGTCAAATCATTTTGACAAAAATTTGTATTTTCGAAATTTCGACTTACAAAATAATTGTCTAATTTTTAAAAATTAACAACTACCAAAAAAATGTTTTGTTAATTTAATTTATTCTAAAGCAGAATATTCCCTAGTTTTTTTTTAATGAAATTCAATCAGTATATAATTTTCTTTTTATTTCGTTTATTAAACGTAAAAATTGTGCTTCACCAAAACACAGCTTTTTGGGATATTTAAATTTCTTGAAAGAAATTGTTTATTTTTAATTTAAAATGTTATTTTAAATTTTGTTTATTTTTCTATAATTTGTGAATATTTTTTTTGTAGAATTTGAACGATGCCAAGTCAAAAGTTGTATCAAACTCGGCCCTCGACAACAATCACACTGCAGTTGATATGAAAGAAGAATTGACCTTCACCAGTAGTAATGATGATTTAAAAAAAGTGCAAAATGACTATATTTTAAAGAGAATTCCCGTTGGAGCCGAGGCAACAGTTGTACTTGTTGGTGCTGTTGATTTTCTTGATCAACCAACAATAGCCTTTGTCAGATTGGCAGAAGGTGTTTTAATGCCTAATATAACTGAAGTTAATATACCAGTGAGATTTATGTTTACATTATTGGGTCCTCGTAATGCTGATCTTGATTATCATGAAATTGGTCGTTCCATATCAACATTAATGTCAAATACGTCCTTTCATAAAGTTGCTTATAAAGCTAATGAAAGACGAGAATTACTTTCGGCGATCAACGAGTTTTTGGATGATTCCATCGTACTGCCACCCGGAGATTGGGAGAGACAGGCATTATTGCCTTTCGATGAACTTCGAGCGAAAAGTGAAGCAATTAGAAAAAGAAAAGCAAATGCAATCGAAGCAAAAAAACAAAAGACAACAATAAGCGATGTTGCTATTAAAAAAGGTATAAATATTTATTTAAATATGAAAATTGTTAATTTGTTTTAAAAAATTAAATTCTTTTGTATTATTAAAATAATTGAAATTTTTTTTCAGCAATAATGGCTGGAGAGGATGAGAAAAAACCGCCAGATGACGATGATCCTTTAAAAAGAACAAAAAGGCCTTTTGGAGGTCTTATAAATGACATAAAGAGACGTTATCCTCATTATCTGTCTGATTTTACCGATGGTTTGAGTTCATCGTGCATTGCCGCGGCAATTTTTATGTATTTCGCTGCTCTCTGTACAGCCATTACATTTGGAGGTTTAATGAGCAGTAAAACATCAAATATGATTGGAATTTCTGAAACATTAATTTCCTGTTGCTTCACTGGAATTGTTATGGCACTTGTTGCAACTCAACCACTTGTCATTATTGGAACAACTGGACCTCTACTTTTATTTGATCAAAGTCTTTTTGATTTTTGTAAAAGTAATGAACTTGAATTTTTAACAATGCGCGTTTATATTGGAGCATGGATGGGAATTATTGCATTGGCCGTGGCTTGTGTTGAAGGTTCTGTACTCGTGAGACTATTCACTCGTTTTTCAGAGGAAATTTTCACTGGTCTCATTTCAATTATTTATATTGTTGAGGCGTTTAAAAAAATTTATGATTATTTTGTCGCTAATCCTCTATTATTGGATTATTGTTTTAATGAAGGCAACGAAACAATTTCACAGAATATTACATTGTACAATACAATTTATGGAAATGAAACGGGAACTGTGATTCAAAGTGAAGAAAGTTATAATTTTATTCCAAAATATGATAAATTTGAAAAATTGATTAATCAACCGAATACGGCATTGATGTGTACAATATTGTGCCTGGGAACATTTTTAGGAGCTTATTATTTGAGAATTTTTAGAAATAGTCACTATTTAGGAAGAAGTGCAAGAAGAGCTTTTGGAGATTTTGGTGTGCCAATCAGTATTGTTCTTTTTGTATTTATTGATTATATGTCAGGTGTGAAAACTGAAAAATTAATTGTACCTGAAGGATTTACACCAACAAATACCGAACGCAGTTGGATTGTCTCACCAGCGGGTACAGAAAAACCTATTCCACTTTGGATTGCTCTCGCTAGTTGTGTTCCTGCTCTTTTGGTTTATATTCTCGTCTTTATGGAAACACAAATATCAGAGTGAGTTACTTTTTTTTTTTTATTTAGAAAATTATTTTTTTTGTATTTATAAAATTTTTCCCTTCCAGGCTGATAATTGACAAAAAAGAGCGAAAATTGAGAAAAGGTAACGGCTATCACATGGACATTGTGGTGGTGTGTTTATTAAATGTAGGTTGTGGATTTATTGGTGCACCTTGGTGTTCCGCTGCTTCGGTTCGTTCATTGACGCACGTCTCAGCGGTGACAGTGATGTCACGAACCCACGCACCTGGTGATAAACCGTATGTGGTCGAGGTCAAGGAACAAAGAGTCAGTGCACTTCTTGTTGCAATTCTCGTTGGCGTTAGCGTACTAATGTCACCTTTACTTCGTCAAGTTCCAATGGCCGTGTTAATTGGTGTCTTCCTCTATATGGGCATCTCGTCAACAAATGGTGTTCAACTTTTTGATCGAATCAAATTATTCTTTATGCCCGTCAAGCATCATGGCACTGCAAATTATGTAAGACGTGTGCAAACCTATAAAATTCATATATTCACAATGATACAAATTCTTTGCTTGACAACATTGTGGATTGTAAAAAGTACCGACGCAGCATTGGCTCTACCATTTTTCCTCATTCTAATGGTACCACTTCGATCACAAATGATTCACTTTTTCACTGCTACTGAATTACGAGCTCTCGACAGTAAAGCGCCTGCCAATGAAGACGAGCCTGACTTTTATGAGGAAGCTCCCTTACCTGGTTAGATTGTGCCTTACTTCTAATTTTTCGTTATATTTGTAAATACAAAATGGAAAAATGAAGACAACAACTCTCACGCGAATAATCAGAAGAATGGTTTGTTTTGCAATATTTATTTAGATTTGCGATATTGGAATTGAATTTTATTTTGCAGAGATTTAAAATTCAAATCTTATTATTATGACCTAAAAACTTATTTCGCTAAATTTTTTTAACTATCGATTTTTCAAACTTTAATACCTCCTAGAGGATCCAGCGGATATTTGAAAATTATTATTATTATTATTATTATTTTAATCATTTAAAAAAAGAACATTTAACAATTTTCATTAATTATTTTGTTTATAGTTTTAAAAATTATGTGAGAGAAAAATTAAAATCCTCGCTGGATATTCTATCTCAATTTAGATAAATTATAATTAAAAATTAATTCTTTTGAAAAAATCTATTTTTTAGTAATTAAAAAAATTGTCACACGTGAATTAACGATAGTATAGTAACTAGTTAAAGAATTTTTATCAAATTGCGGTAACTAATCTCGTTAATTTTTAATCTAATACTATTTATATACGTGTTGAGCTTAAATCAGAAAATTCTCTTTAAAATTATTCGATCATTGAAAAAATATATTTTTCACAAATTAATTTCTTAATCTTTGTGAAAAATATTTTTAAAAATATTTTTATAATTTAAATTTTCCTTTTTATTTTATCTTAGAAAAAAATGTAGTATTACGGTATTTTTTTTTTTCTTACAAATAATTTCAAAAAATTAACATCCAAATCCTAAATAATTTCGAAAAAACAAATTTTTATTTTTCTAAAATAGATTTTTTATCGTCTTTATTTTAATATACAATCCCTTGTTTTTTTTCAGATATATTTTTTATTGATCCATTTTTTTTAGAAATCATTTATCGAATTAACTTTTTTAAACCTTTAAATATTAGTTGTTTTTCAATGAAAATTTTAACAAAAAAAAAAAAAAAAAAAAAAAAAAAAAAATGCTATATCAAAAGAAAAATGGTGCCAAACTTAGATTAACAAAATAATATGTCAATAGTAGTGAATTACGAACTTTTCTCGGCACTTGAAACTTTTGTCAAAGTTTACATACTTTTTTACATATAATGTAGATTTAATGAAAGATTAGATATTTTTTCGACATTTTTCTGAATTTAACCAGATAAATAGGTTTTAATCCCTTCCACGATTAATTTAATTGTTTAATAGAAATGATTTTTGAGAAAGATCATCGAAATATAAAATAGATAATTTTATTTTTTGAAAAAAAGAAATTATTTTCTTTTCAATGACCTTAGCAAAAATAGTTTTGTTAAACAATTAAGTGATTTTGAATTTGTAAAATCGTGATTCCACCCATACTTTACATATGTACCTTATCAATACTACCTCTGTAAGACCAGAGCATTATGATTAAAAATAAACAGTTTGTATAGATGGTGTGCTCAAATTTTGTGGCGTTAAACGTGAAATCAAACAAAAAATGAAAATCAGAAGGATCACTTTTTTTAATGTCTGGTGCGAGTAGAAAATGTAATTTTCGAACTTAATACTAGAAAATTTCTGTACTTATCTTGTACTTTAAAAGTTGAAGAAAAATATTTGTCAGCTTGACATTTTTATTGATATTTATGCAACACATTTGTTTTTTAACATTAAATTATTAAAAAAAAGGTATTTTTTAATATTAAAATTTTCTCTCTAAAAAAAAATAATTGATTTACATGACAATAGAATTTTGTTGCAAAAATATGAAGAAAAAAATGTCAAGTTAAAAAGAAAATATTTTCTTAGGCGAAACTTTACCGGGACTAATAGAACGCACGTGATACTTTAATACGCGGCAATACTTAGAAAATTGTAACAATATATATATATACTATATATATATTGTACTTTCATAATTTAGTACTTTTTATCGAAATGCGCTCAGGTGATGTGTGTCCATGGGAATGTGCATTTTTTTTTTTTTCGCATATACCTATGTATATATCGGAAGCACATTGATGTTCAGAAGTCAACGGAATTGGAGTAGAGTTCAAAGTTGAATTTATTTTTATTTTGCAAATAAAGCAAAAAACTTAGAACTCAACTCAATGTAACTTTATAGCAGTAAAATACTCAGAAAGTAGCGATTATTAAATTTTAACAAAAAAAAGAAAATTTTTATCCATTATTAAATTTAGAAACATTGCATTTTTAAATATTTCAATTCATAATGTAAATTAATGAAATTATTTTCAAAATTTACTAAATATAATTTTCAAAAATAATTTACGTAAATTTCTATACCAAAAAGTTAATCTAAATTTTGAAAATTAATAAAAAAAAATTGTTTATATTTAATAATTTTCTTATATAATAAAAATAAATTCTTTTTTCTTTTGACAAACTCTACCTCTTACTTTTTGGTAAATAAAATCGCGAGTTTACTATTTAAAAGAAAAGACCAAGTGATAACTGATTTTAATCTTGTATTGCTACTGAATGTAAGAAACAGAAAAAAAGAAATATATATATATAATAAACTAATTTTATATTGTAAAGAGACTTGATTATACAAAAGAAAGAAGATATATTCTATTTTAAAATTCAAGAGTATTTTACTAATTAAATTGTTATGAAAAAAAAAGAAATCAATTTTAATGTTAATATTTTAAATATATTATAAATAAACCGTACAATTGTAACCGGTGCAAGAAAAAATGCAGAATAAGTTATAAAATATTGGTAAAGAGTTCTAAATCCTAAATAATTGTGATAGAAGTATAATTGAGACTTATCTGTTTTATTCTAATAGATCTGAATATATTAGTTACGGCTCTACAATGTCTATGACACACAATTAATTAAGAAATTTTAATTGAAACAAAAATCATTTATTATTATAGAATCCACAGTTATTGAAATCGTGAAATATAAATATATATATATATAGATTCCTCATATTAAGAGACTATGACGATTATTGTTACGAGATGATAGAACTATTGTACATAATCTAGTTAATTCACAGTATTAAAAATAATAAATATTAAGAGCCTCTTAGAAAAATCGTTTACGCTTTAGGATTATTAGAGAGCAAAGAAATAAACATATATTTTAATTGCCAATCGTATTTTCATTTCCCATACGTAATTTTTTTTTTAATTTTAATATTTTAAAAAAATTGAAATAATTAAAAAAAATTTAATATAAAACATAATTTATTATTTTAAAAATTCACATGACATTATTTTTCTAATGTAATTAAAAATTTTATTATTTCCATTAGCGAAAATTCCAGTTGCGGTAAAATGAAAAATAAAAAGAAGCTGAAGAACTAAATATTTTGATTTGTGAAATGGAAAATAATAAACAATATATTTGAATTAGTCTTGTAGTGACAATTATGCCACTCGCACGTTTCAAAGTGCTTTTCAATTTTGACAATAAATCGTTTTACACTTTCAAGAAAATTCTCAATGGATGTTATTATTTTTATTATAAAAGACAAAAAAAATGGCATCTCCTCGAGCTTTAACTTCAGGTATAAAACGATTGTCGCCATCGTCAAGAACTATTAACACTCTCAAGTAAGTGTCTTTCTTTTTAAATATTAAAATAATTCTTCAATATTAATTAAATTTATAAATAATTATATTAAACACAAATATATGAAAAAAAATTATGTAAAAATGAAAAAAATATATATGTAGATTATCTCCAGTTTCCTCGCCAGTGAGACGAAATCTTCTAAATGAACCCGAATGGAATAAAGAAAAATTTCTCTCACCATTCAAAGTCGATACTCCAAATAGAAAAATATTAATAAACGAAGGTCTTCAAAATCAACATCCAATTATTTTAGGTACCGGAGGTTTTGGAAAAGTTTACAAAGCATCGTATAAGGGTAATTTTTTGTATTTTATTTTTCGAATAAAGTTTGAAAAATTTTTAATTATTAATTAATAATAGGAGATAAGGTGGCTGTAAAATTAATCGATCGTAATAAACATGGAGATTCAATTATTAAAGCAGAAAAACATGCAGCATCATTGATGCATATAAATATTGTAAAAGTGTTTGCAATCGAGGAAGGTGATATTCTCTCTGTAATAACAATGGAATTATGCATGAATTCACTACAGGAAAAACTTGAAAAAACATCTCTTATTCCTGAGGAGAGAATTTTTATTTGGAAAGGAATTGCCAGTGCTCTTAGATTTTGTCATAATTCTGGTATTGTTCATGGTGATGTTAAACCAAAAAATATTCTTCTTGGCATTGATGGACAAGCAAAACTCGCAGATTTTGGAAGTTCTGTTCTTATTAATGAATCATGTGTAGAATATACTTTTCATGTGCGTTTCATATAATTAATAATTAAAATTACATTAAAAAAATTCTATTTCGCGTTAAAAAAATAAATGTAATTTATTTTAATTCCTTATTTCTAGGGAACTCCAGGATATACAGCACCCGAAGTAGTACGAGGAGAAATTCCAACCCCATCATCAGATATTTATTCCTTAGGAATTGTTGCTTGGCAAATGCTTTCAAGAAAATCACCATTTCAAGGACTTCATACACATACAATTTTATATCTTACTGGCTGTGGAGCGAGACCGCTTAGCGGAAAATATGACGATGGTTTCAATGGAAAATACAAAGAATTGTATGTTGAAATGTGGTCAGAAAACAAGAGACGTAGACCTGCTTTAATTGTGATAATCACCGAATTAAATAAGTTAATACAGGATAATTATTCATTTACAAATTAAAGGTCAAATTATTTCGCTAATATTTAATAATATTTTTAAAAAAGTATTTATTAAGAAATGAAAATAATTAAGTCTTTTTTTTTTTTTTTTGTTTACAAATAAGAAAAGAATTTCTACGTATCTGGCATTTCTCCACCAGGAACGAGCTAGAAAAAAAAGAAATGAAAAATTTTTATGGTAAAACTTTTTTTTTTTTTTACAATTTTAAAGTGGAAATTTTTATTTTGAATAATTACCATCGTAATATTGTTTCCATTAAGGAGAATTTGGTCCAATTTTGTAACTCTACGTCCCTCCGGTGTTGCTTCACTTTCGGTAACATCCTCGAGAAGCATATTTACAAAATCGTCGAAACCCTGAAGAGTTCCAACAATTTCTTTATCATTTTTCATAATGATATGTATCCGGGAACCAATACATTTGTCTACCAATTCTGCAAATTATAAATAAATAAACAGGTAAATTTATTAAATTTATAATTTATTTATTCTTATCAAGAGTTTAAAATTAGATTCAAAAATAATACTCTATTAATAAAATTCGTATTTCAAAAAACATTTTCTTTTGAATAAATTAGTTAAGTTTTTATCGGAAAATACACAAAAATTTTAGTAAATAACTAATATTAAACTAATTAATTTGAAATGTAATAAAAAAGAATTCTAATTTACAATTTAACAAGTAATTTCGATAAAATAATATGGAAAAAATTGAACATTTTTGAAAATTTTAAGGTTATGTTTGACAGTAAACAAAAATGTTTTAAGTACGTTTTAATTATTAATTATAACAAATTTAAATAAAATTAATGTTCGTTAAAGTACACATTGACAAAAATTTGTATAATAAAAAACAATTATAAATTTAATAATTGTTTACAAAAAAAATAGTATTTTTTCTGTTTTCTTACCCAAAGGAAGCAAAGTAGATTGATTTGTAGTCATTGTACTTGTCATTTTTGCAGCTAATAATTTTCTCTTTGAATTCAAGAATTATAAACAAGCTTTAATTAATGCCACTTAACTTTTAAATATAAATAAAAAACGTGGGGTTAAACAATTGTCAGGGTTGTCATTTTTATCAAAAAAATTTCATTTTTCTCACCAGGGGCGCTACTATAAAAATAAAATTATTATAATTATCTTTCTTTTCCGCTGTTTTTTTTCTATTTTCAAATTATCTTGCACGCACAGAAAAAAAGTACCATTGTTTGTAAAAATTATTCAAATTAAAGATAATTAAGAAATTAGTGACCAACTAAGCTTATTGTTTTAATTTTTTTTTTTTTTTTCACTTTAAATTTCGTGTACAAAAAAATCAACCAATCATGAGACAGTGATTTGCGCATGTGTACATTTATCTAACCTAACCTTAACAACTAGTTGAGAAAATTTTTCAAAACTTTCCTCATTCTTAGAATTATTTCTTGGAAAATATTGCAATTTTACCATGTAATTTTGAAATTTTACACAAAAATAAGGGAATATTTCTGGAAACTATTGAAATATTACAGGGTAATATTTGTTATATTTCATGGCTGGAAGTGAATTTACAAGTGCAGCAAAACGGTGCAGAATGCGAAGAATGGCGAAGAACATGGACGATAGCGACTTTCTCGCTTTATAACGCGTAATTTTGTGCTCGACAATATGAGCCGTGACGAAACAAGTGCTGTGTACCTGCAGTGGAAGCAGGACAATTTCAAATTCTCGGAGACGAGTACGCTCAGGTAAGAGAGAAACAGTTTTTCTTTTCCTATAACTTTCGTAATATTTGTTGTTCGTTGGGGGTGGATTTGACAATCGGCTTCTCGCGTCTATTTATAAGCCCCCTCCTCGAACCGGTCAACAATGCCCACGACTCCGGAACGTAGAGAGTGGTTCTCCAATGTCCAGAGGACGATTCGTGAGTCGCTTTCGAGTGTGTAGACGAGTTTTTTTTTAAAAAAGAAAAAGAAATTTAGACATTGTTGGCATGTACACGCTCGTCAGTCATTTATACTTAGACAGAAAAATTGATTTGTTTCAAAATGTTGCTTGTTCTCAATTATTGTGTCACGCGCGCTATTTAGTCATAAAATATTTCCTCTATTTTACAATTTCACTTAATATTTGCTAATTGTATATTTTTCAACCTTGATTTTCTTTGCAATTCTGACATTTTACGCAATGTCAAAGTACCGTTTTTCCCACGGTTAGAGGAAATATATTTTCGTGGGAATTTTCACTTTTACAAACTAGTGTCTTCATGTTTTAATGCATTTCTGTGTCAGGGTTGATTAGTTTTTACACTGAATTTTTAAGAATTTTATTCTATTTTACGTATTGGCGTCCTTTCGTCATCAGGTCAAAATATAAATGATGTATCATTGCTGTCATTCATTTTTCTTTCGATTAAGTATTAAGTAATATGTGCAAAAAAAAAACTAGACACCTTTTTGACATTTTACATAATATATTTCTTCTACTTAAATAAGTGTTACTAACACTTTTTTTAAAAATTTTTTTCTTATTGATAAATATTTCAGTTATATCATTGAAATGGTAAAAAATTAGAAAGCATTTCAAATAGATTTTATTTTTCGTATATTTCTATAATTTTCACATAGATAAACAAAATTCTTTTTAGATTTAAAATAATTGAGAAAAAAAAATGTTGCATGATTTTAATAATACCTTTGTTTACAATTTGTTGTTTTTTAAAATAAATTAGTGTATATGTACTATTCTTTTGATTTGATTGTAGCGATATCGGGCAAAGCATGCATTTATACACTGAAAGATTCATGAATACCATTGTAATTCGCTGATAGAATTTCCCGATATTCAATATTTAAAGATACTTTGATATGACAGCAAGTCAAGATTTTTATATTGGATTTGGATGTAATCTTATTTCCTCTTTAATATAATTCAATATGGAATTTTCTGCATCTTTATTATTGAAATTGATTTAAAAATTGATACCCTTTATATATTCGAAGCATTCAATTGAATGCGATTTTTTTATAAAGAAAACTTTTTTTTGTTTCTTTACAATTAAAATCTTATTTTACAATAGTAGATTTTAAATTAGGTTTACTAATTTGTTTTTTTGTTAATTAAAATCTTTTTTTAATATTAATTTTTGTATTTTTTTGTAATTAATAATTATATTTAATCATAATTATATTTGTGATTAATTAATGAAAATGAATTTTGTACCGTGATGATAAATGAAATAATTATTTCAGATTAGAATAAGTACAGACTATAATCAAAAAAAAAAATGGATGGTACAAGGGCCGCCGAGGTTCTTCCTCTTCTTCAAGAACGCCTTGCTATACTTCCTGGAAGTCGAGATCGTCGAGGAGGTCCTGTTTTGGTGTTTCCAACAACACCAAGACGTGAACGTGCAAAACCTGAGGACTATCGACGTCTTTTACAGTATCTTCTAACCATTCCAAACGATGAAACAAGAGGATTACGTTTTACAGTCGTAGTGGATATGCGAGGTGCTACTTGGGATTCTGTGAAACCAATTCTCAAGGTTTGTATATTTCTCTATTTTTCCTATCTAACCAAATGAGAATTTTAATTTCCTCTTTTTTTTTTTTAATACTATTTTATTTTCTTAAACTTTTATTTGATATTTTTATAAAATAGAAGTTTAAAAAAAAAATTGTATTTATAATTTAATCGTTCAAATTTAATTAATTTGAAATAGAATTATATTGAAATATTAAAAAGTATCTTATGGTATATTTAAATGCTTCTTAAAATACTTAAAATTATCTTGAAGTGTGTTTTGAAATTTTAAAACTCTTGAAATGTTCTGAACTATATTTCGAAAGTGGATGAATATTCTAGATTCTAAAAGTGTTCTTATATTATCTTGAAACATTGTTGTAAAATATTTTTAAATATTTTTTTAAAGCAACAAATATTAAAAAATTTAAATCATATTAAATATCTTTCATTGAAATATAAAGTAATTGAAATATTTTTAATTATTTGATTATACAATATTTGATATTATTCAAATTTTTTTATACATAAATAAGATAACTAATTAATTTTTTAAAATAACATTTACAAGTATTTATAGTATTTCAATTTAATTTTCTAAATTATTATAGTGCGATTTTTTAAAATTAAATTTTACCAAATTGAAAATAAAAAATACCAAATAAAATTTTGTTTATGCCAAAAAAATGAAATTCTTTTTTAACATGAAAGACACGATTTTATCTTGGATTTAAGACGTGACTTGTTTCAAGTGCAAGTCGTTTAGTAAATAATTCAAGTATTCACTGATTTAGGTATTACACGAACACTTTCATCGATCGGTCCACGTTGCATTTATCATCAAGCCAGAAAATTTCTGGCAGAAGCAGAGGACTTCGCTGGCCAAACAGAAGAAGTACAACTTTGAGGTAAAATAGAGCAATCAATAGATGTGTTAGGGGATGAGGAGAAGGGACAAGGGGGGTTGAATGCAAAGACTTGTTAGAGTAATAGTGCACGTCTACTGAATAGCCTCTCTGGCCTACTTTGACATCAAGTCTGTATGGCTTATTGCATCCATTGGAGCACAAAATGCAAGCCTAACCCATTGTACTGGAGATGTTAAAGCTTCAAGTTTGTGTGGTAGCCGCTTTTACCTGTGATCATTAGTAACCGCTAGTTGTCACAAAAGATGACCTTTAACTATCAATAATCCTTTATTGAAGTCCATATTCACTTGACGTATTGCCTTTCCTCTCTTAAGCCAGACTGCACAGACTCGATGAATTTTTCATCCATTTCCTCTATTCTTGTTAAACAATTTTTATTGTCAAAGCAAATAGGAAATCCAACTTGTTAAAGCTTCACTCAAATTCATTATTTTAAAAAAGCGCACTTTATAAATTTTTAATTTTAAATCTTTGAGAATCAAAATACAGGAAAAAAATTGAAAATATTTCGGTTCTCTTAGAATATCTCTTCTAGATATCAAAAAAATTAAAATATTCCAAAATTACTTAGAAATTTTCATAGTAGAAAGAAAATTATAAAAAATTATTTGAGTTTGTATTTAAAAATTGTTTATAGAAATTAAAATTATAAATTAATTTTTTAATTTAATATCCTGAACAGAAAAATTAGTTCTAAAAAAGGTAAATAACTTTAATTAAAAAACTCGATACTTTTTTATTTTTAGATAATATTTTTTTAAAATTACAAACAATAGCAAAAATTTAAAAAAGGGAATAATAAAATTCAAAAAACTATCTATTAAAAATCGAAATAAAAATAATAAAATCACATTAGATATTCCTTTTTTTGTAAATATCAAAATTCAAACTATTAAGTTTTTAAACAACTTAAATTGAAATTCTTACTAAAAGTCGGAAATCTAAAAAGAAAATAAAAAGTCAATATTTTACAATTTTTTCAACCTACTTTTTAGAAGTAAGCATTATCATAAAACGGAATAATAAAATATCGAAATAAAAAAAAATTCTTCACCAGAAATAGTCAAAATTTATTGTAAACTACTTTGAGAAAAAAAAAATTCACATTTTCTTCCATAATTCCAAATTTATTCCATAAAACATTCTGTCCGTTTTTAATTGATTTGAAAAAAAGTTTTAGATTTAAAAAAAAAAAATTGATAATATAATTAGGATTGCCACATGTCAGGGAGAAATAAAACTTTAAACAAAAGAATATTTTTTTTACTGAATAAGACAAAATTTCGTCTGAAAATTAGGGAAAAAATTAATTTTTTTGTGGCAATCCTGATAATATTTTAAATTCTTAGCAGAGTATTTCTAATTTTATTCTTAAATAATATTTTACTATAAATATAAATATTTCTAATTAATAATAATAATTATATTTTATTCTAAATTAATATTTTAATGTAAAATAATATAAATATTTTTGTTTTTCAGATTAATACAATTAGTTTAGAGGCATTAGCCAAAGTAATAGATCCCTCTCAACTCACTGCGGATTTAGATGGTTCCTTACAATATGATCACGCTCAGTGGATAGACACTAGACTTGCCGTAGAAGATTTTACATGGCAGGCTGCTGATCTTTTAGATAGATTAGATGATTTACAAGAAGATCTCAGCCGTAATGATTTTGCCGATGATGTCGGTGGTGCAAAGCATGGTATCGATCTACACAACGAGATGAAGAAAAAAATAATGAAAGTTCCAGTTGAAGAGGTGGAAGTCGTTGGACAAAGATTATTACAACGATTTAATAATGGTTAAACTTTTTCTTTATATTTAAAATACTTTAAATTAATCTGATATTATTTTTTACATAATCTAAAATAAAAATGACTTTTGCATTTGAAAGAAATTTAATGACTTTTAGGTGTAACGGGAAACGGTGGCGAAGGCGGAAGCATAGAATCAGGAGCCACAGGTGGTTCTGATTCGGATGGTCGAGCCTTAGCATCAATGGTGATTCAACATCTAAATTCGGTGCACGCGGCGCAGCAACACCTCTTGAAATTGTGGCACATTAAAAAAATAAAATTGGATCAGTGCTTTCAACTTCGTTTATTTGAACAGGACTGTGAAAAAATGTTTGATTGGATTTGCCACAATAGAGAGAGTTTTCTTGGCAATTACGTTGAAATTGGTAGATCTTATCAGCTTGCTAAAAATCTCCAAGAAGAACATAAACATTTTACCATGAGTTCAATGAATGTCTATGTCAATATCAATAAAATCTTGACAATGGCCGGTAGACTTTTAGAGACTCAGCATTATGCTGCTGGTCACGTACGTGCCGTCGCTGGTAGATTGGATCGTGCATGGAAAGAATTTGCCGCTGGACTCGATGAAAGAACTGCCGTTCTTGGATTGAGTGTTGTTTTTCATCACAAGGCAGAACAGTACGTTGACAGTGTCACCGGTTGGAGTAAAGCATGTGACACTCCAAATTTGCCAAATGAAATACCAGTTCTTGAATCTCATATTCGACAGCATCAGACTCTCTATGAGGCAATGTGTCAAGCTTACACTGAGGTGAGTAATTTTTCAAATTTCTATTTATATTAGAAATTTTTCTCTATTTCAAAACAAAAATTAGTATTGCCACAAATCAGAGAAATTAGGAAAAAAAAAGTGTTTTCGTTAAATATCAAAGAACTAAATTTGTTAATAAAAATCCAGTTTTTTTATTGAAATAGTTTTCTTCTCACTTTAATCTTAGCCAATCTCAGCTTTTGTCACATAGAAGTGTTTCGAGCTTTCATTGTAAAGCAGAGAGGATATTGGATACTGTTCAAATCATTATGGCGAGGGATAGACGTTTTTTTTAAAACTGCTTTAATTTCTTTTTCAAACAAAACAAAAAAAATGTTTTTATTACAAGAAATGTATTGTTAGCAAAAAAATATGCCTTTTAATAGGTCTACAATGCCTACCAAGCACTTTTGAGTGGACTGGGTTCAATGCTACAAGTATGTCATAGCGCAAGCACAGTCGGTCTTGCAGGCTCCGATGTCTTTCACGATGATTATGTACGAGAACAATTTTTATAATAGATTTTTTTTTAGCTGATGGATTCTTAACGCTAACTTGGTGTCTGGGCTACTGGAATTACTATCACTCTGCTACTGGGCAAGATAACTCACTCTAAAAAAAAATAATTTTTCTTTAGAGTTATGGGGGAATAAACGCTAACGTTTACTACATCTTAATCATTATTAATTAATTATTAATATCTATTTTCATCTAATGGTGCAGTTCAACCAGTGTAATAACAAATCGCTTGATTGTATTGTTAAGGCGATGGTGTAGGCCTCATTGTATAATGTGAAAAAAAAAAAATTAATCAATCATATGCATCTGGGTGGAATTGTTTAGGTTCATAGCACCAGTAAGAAGCTTCTTTACCAACTGGATCATCTTGTTCAAGTCTGTAATCAACCTCAGGGGATTGACCATGCTACAAGAAAACATGTACGTCTATCCATTTCTGCATGAAAATTTAGTTGTTTCACTAATTTAGTTCTTTCGCATGTTCCTTTCATCTGCACTAATTAATCTTTTCTAATAAGAAAAAAAACAATTTCCATTGAAATTACAAAATATTTTAGTTAATTTATAAATAACATTTACTGTAGATGGTTTACACTAGAAAGAGTGAAATTAAGTTTTAAAATCAAAAGAATAATTGAAAAGAAAAAATTATTTAAGGGCAAAAAGTAAAATTGTTTATTTGTAAAATTAAAAAAACTTTTCAATTTGAATTTTTTTAATAGAAACTCTTTATAATAAAAATGTTTTTATATTTCTAAATTAAAAAAAAAATAATTTTCAAATAATGTTTTTTGCCCTTTAAAATAATTGGTACAAATTTTCTGTATTTTTACCTGTGATTAATATTTTCCAGAGAATAGAATCTTAATAGGGTATCACTTATTTTATTGCACAGTATGCACATTAGTAAGTAAAATTATTTTTATAAAATAATGGTGTTACCATTTTATTTGGAATGTAGTGCATGGAGTTGTCTGGATTTGTTTTTTTTTTTTTTATTATAAAATGTGAATAAAGTTCAAATTATTCTAATGCTCCTTGATATTGAAATTTTGAATAGAATCAGGATGGTCATGGAATGGATGGCCGAGGTGGAATGAGTGGAAATCCCGCTGCCGATTACAGTGAGGGAGCATCTCACGTTCTTGCCGTGATTCATCAAATCTTGGGTCATCACCGAGCACTTGAGGCTCGTTGGCATGCTCGCAAAATAAAACTTCATCAACGTCTTGCTTTAAGGCAAGATTCTACTAAGTAATCTCGTAGCTGGTCACGTCTATTTGAAATCATCACGAAAATTTTCCATAATGCAATTAGTATTCTTTTTTTTTATTCCGGCACCGCTTATTTTTATCATTTATTTGCTTTTTAATTTTGGTACTCATTTCACTTTTTTCATCCAATTTTGCATACTTTTTTTTACACTTTCACTTTCTATTTCACCTATTTTCGATTTATCACTATTTTTCCAAAAAAATAACACTAAAACTTAAATTTAATATTTCTAAAAGTAATTTACATTTTTTTATTGTGTATTCAATTTCCAAGTTTATCCAATTTTCCATATGTCCAAATATTTGAATCTAATATTCAATTGCTTTCTTTTTATAGTTCGTATATTGAATAAATAAATATACAATGCTTTCAAAATGTGAATAAGAAAAGTCAAAATATTTTTAGTGAAAAATGATACCGAATTAAATATTTTTATATCTAATTATTATTTTTTTTTATTGCATTAGTTAACGACTAATTGCAACAAAATTTTAAATCCAATTGCATCGTAAAAATTTTTGAGATGATTTTACATGGACTTTGACATTTCTTATTTCACTGAAATTTTTTTCAAAATAATAATCTTGTTAATTAATTATTTAATAGACTTTTTCAAGAAGACGTTAAACAAGTTTTGGACTGGTTAACAAATCATGGTGAAGTTTTCATTAGAAAAAATACAGGTGTTGGACGAAATCTTCAAAAAGCAAGAGTTTATCAAAAGAGCCATGAACACTTTGAAAATGTTGCTCAGGTAAATTTTTGATTCTTTAGAAATTCGTATTGACATACAAATTATTATAAATTATTTTATTTTATATATTATTATTTAATTGGACCTTTTTCTTTGCAGAATACTTATACGAATGCGACGAAATTGTTAACTGCCGCTGAGGAACTTGCACATACTGGAGAATGTGCTCCGGATGAAATTTATGCAGTTGCTCAAGAACTTGAAGATCACGTCAGTAGTTTTGCAGCAAGAGTTGAACAACGACGAAGAAGATTAGATTTAGCTGTTGTATTTTATACGCATGAGAAAGAGGTATGTAAAGAATATTATTTTTCAAATTTATTTAATATAATTGATATTTTTAAAAAACAAATGTAGCTCGCTGGTTGGGTTGACGAATTGCGACAAGAATTACAACAGGATGAAGTTGCTGAAAGTTTGGATACTGCTGAGAGATTATTGGATCAGTGTGCGCAGCATAGAGCCTCGTGTCTTGAAGCTTGTACTTCAACAATAGCTCAGGGTGAAGCACTCCTTCAGGAGTTACGCGATTCAAATGAAGCACCTGATACAACAGGCTCTGTAACTGCTGTGGAGACTGCATTGGATAGACTTTCAGGATTACGTCAAGAATTGGAGGAATTGTGGGCAACGAAAAAATTGAGATTAGATCTTTGTCTTCGTCTTCGGGTGTTTGAGAGGGACGCATTGGAAGCGAGTGGTCAACTCGAGATGTGGACTCAGGAACTTCATGGACCACCAAGGGAGGGTTCACCGGAGCAATTGTTGCGTGTTCATAATGATGGAGTGGCACATATGCAAAATACAGCGTTTCAAGTGTTACAACAGGGACAGGAACTAGCTCAGGTGTTGGATCAAGCGGGTGTTTGCATCATGGCCGATGGACAGCATACAGCTGCGGCGAGGGTTCAAGTTCTTCTCGAATTTCTCAATGAACGTGAAATGGATGCCGAGGATCTTGCTGAAATGCGGCGTGTTCGATTGGAACAAACTGCTCAATTGGTGCAATTACAAGCGGACGCTTTGCATGTTGCCAATTGGATTCGAAATGGCGAGGCAATGCTTCTTGCTTCTTTGAGAGTACCGGAAAATCTTCAAGATGCAGAACAACTCAGACTCGAGCACGAACAATTTCAAGTGGCTATTGAGAAAACTCACACCTCTGCTGTTCAGGTCCGTATTAATTTTATTTTTTTTCACTTAATTGCTTTTTGATTTTCTTTTAAGTCGAAAATTTTTTATCCACCTCGAAATGATTTTAAAAAAATGTATTATTACCTAGGTGAAGCACAGGGCGGATGCCTTACTCAGCGCAAATCATTACGATCCAAAAAGTATTCGAGAAGTTGCCGAAGACGTGACTAAAAGATGGCAACAGCTCGTTACTTGCGCAGAGGAAAGACATAAACTTGTCGCAGCGAGTATAAGTTTTTATAAAACAACAGAACAGGTGCGATCTGTATTAGATAGTTTGGAAAGGGAATATAGAAGAGACGAGGATTGGTGTTCTGGCGGTGAGAAAAGTGTTCAAGTAACCACATTTGTTACAAAACATCAAGAGCAAAAAGAAGGATTCTTGAAAGCTTGCACTTTACTTCGTCGCAATGCTGAAACTTTTCTTAAGTACACAAATCGAAGTCTTCAACTATATAGTTATCAAGCGACTGGTTCTGAGAGCAAAGTTAAAAGTACGTATTTTTCTAAATTAAGAATTAGTTATTATATTTAGTGAATTAGTTTTCAAAATTAGTAAAAAATATTTAAAAATTAAAAAAATTTTCTTAATATATTTATTTGTTTGATAAAATTGTTATGCGATGAAAGAAAATTGTACAATTTTTTTTTTTTGTTTTGTTTATTAAATTGACGACCTGTTGACATAAACGTGTCACTGAATTTCAGGTATTCTGGAAGAATTGCTGAGTAAAGAGAATAAAGTTCTTGAATATTGGACGCAAAGGAAAAAGCGCTTGGACCAATGCCATCAGTACGTGCTTTTGGAGCAAAGCGTGAAGCAAACTCTTGAATGGATCAGGGATAAGGGAGAAGTCTATCTTGCATCGCACTCCAATGTTGGCAAAAATCGTGTCGAGAATGAACAGCTACTTCACGAGCACAACAAATTCAAAGGGGAAGTTAAGGTAGAATATTTCATTTTTAAATTAGCACTCAGTGATCTTTTATTAATTCAAATCATTATGAAATAATTTGAAAAAAATCTTAAATATTTAAAAATTAAATCCACAAATTAAGATTTCTAATAAGTAAATGTAATTAAATTGCTAAATAATTTAATGGGAAAATTAGCATATTTTGTGAATTTTGTAAAGAAAATTGATGGCGTCATTATCTGGCACAACACGTAAAATAGAATAGACAGTTTGCCAAGTGGCACACACAATTCAGAATCGTTTGTGATTTTACATTGGTATTTTTTTTTTTTCATTGTTTCAGGAAAAGAGGGAAAGAGTGAAGCTATTGATTCAATTCGTGGATAATTTTGTTGAGGAAGGTCATATTCACACTGCCGCTATCAAGCAATCTGTCGCGGAAGTTGATCAAATATTTAGGGATTTTAGCATGCGAATGGATTGTTATAAAACTCAGATTGAAGACGATTTGGGAATTCAATCTGATGAGAGTCATAAAGATTTGTCTATTGACAGAAATTCTGATCCATTGTTAGAGGAAAAAATCAAAGGAAAAGATTTAAAGGAACTGAATGAGGAAAAAAGGAGATCAGCTCGACGAAAAGAGTAATTATTTTTTATCTTTTTAATTTAATTTTTTTTTTTACCTTAGTTTATTGTTTTTTTTTATTATATTTATCTATTATTGCTATTATTTATTTTTATCTCCTTGTATTTTTATTTATATTTATTTTGTTATTGGTTTCTCGATAGAGATTTCGTTTAATAAATGTAATTGTTTCTCTAGATTTATAATGGCCGAACTCTTACAAACGGAGCGTACTTATGTGAAAGATTTAGAGACTTGTATACGATGCTTTTTGGAGGAAACTAGAAATGGAAAAGGAAATGTTCCGCATGGCCTGCAAGGACGGGAGTCTATTATTTTCAGTAATATGGAAGAGATTCACCGTTTTCACTGTGATATATTTTTGAGAGAACTTGAAAAATATGAAACTATGCCCGAGGACGTTGGGCACTGTTTCGTTACTTGGGTAAATAATATTTTTCAAAAATAATTTTTCTTTGATTATTGAAAAATATATAATTATAAACAAAATTGATTTTTTTTTTAATATTGTACTAATAATAATGACATTTTTAGGCTGCAAAGTTTGACATGTACGTGATGTACTGCAAAAATAAACCCGAAAGCAATCAATTATTGGTTGCACATGGCGGCAATTGGTTTGAAGATTTGCAACGAAAATACAAAGTAGAACATCCAATTGCTGCGTACTTAATCAAACCAGTGCAGAGGATTACAAAATATCAATTACTTTTAAAAGACCTTCAGGTAATTTTCCAAATTTTCAAATTCTAAATTGAAAATTCAATTATGATTTATAATTTTATTTATCTGATTTTGGAAATTAAAAACTATATTCTTCAGGCCTGTTGCCAAGAAGGTCAAGGAGAAATCAAAGATGGCCTCGAAGTGATGCTGAATGTGCCTAAAAAAGCAAACGATGCCTTACATTTAAGCCTACTAGAGGGATGCGACGTCAGATTAGATACTCTCGGAGACGTAGTCCTTCAAGACGCATTCACAGTTTGGGATCCTAAGCAACTAATCAGAAAGGGCAGAGATCGACACATTTTTCTCTTTGAGCTTTATCTTCTATTTAGCAAAGAAGTGAAAGATTCTGCCGGCAAGGTTTGTACTCTTTTTAAATTTACTAATTTTAATTGAAAAACCGTAAAATTTATAATTAATTAATAATTTAATTTAAAAAATAAACGAACCTTTAATTAATTATATTAAATTAATGATGTAATTAAAATTGTATTTCTTAAACATTGAATTGCTTGCTAAAGGAGTGTTTTATTATTTCTTTTTTTTTGTGTCAACAGGTGAAATATATTTATAAAAGTAGACTAATGACATCGGAGTTGGGTGTCACTGAACACATAGAAGGCGATGAGTGTAAATTCGCCGTCTGGACAGGACGAGCACCGACGAGCGATACTCGCGTGGTCCTGAGGGCCAATTCACTGGAGGCAAAACAACTGTGGGTCAAGAGACTTCGCGAGGTTATTCAGGAGACGTACTTCAGTCTCAGCATGCCGAAGAGCCCCGCTAAAAAGAGTTCCAGTCAACGATCCAGCAGAGATCTAGAGGAATGTGCATCGCTTGACGACAGTGTTGAGAATCTCGATAGAAATTCCTTGGCATCTTTTGGATCAACGAACACCACCGATTCCGACAAGGTACGATTTTATTTTATTATTTAATTAATTATTATTAATTAATTAATTTAATTATTTTTTCTTTATGGTTTTAATTAATAATTGAATTTTACTTCAATATATAATTTAATTTACTATATTTTTGTATGTTTGAAATACTTGAAGTGTAAATAGCGGAAAGTTTTGCTCAATTTATGCGTATGCAATAGAAATAAGAGTGGTTGGCGTTAATGGATTAATTGATCCAAAGCTTCGTTATATATTCAATAGAATTGCATTCGCAGATGATTTGTTTGTTGTTTCAGGATTTCAAATCACAGAATATGTCTTTCGATGAAAAACTATTCACGTTTATTGACAATGGTTTAATTTTAGTGCGAGTTTACGTCAAATTTCGTTAAATTGAGACTCGCTTTTTAATCCTTTTTGAATATTAATTTCCAAAAATTCTCGCTTTATTGATTTAATGATCAGATCGATTGACTGATTGAATTAAATTTGATTAATTAGTGAATTAATTGATCTATTGATAGAATTTTTCGTGTTTGTAAATTGTCAGTTACGAAAGTAGTGCAAGTTTTTTTTTCGAAAGGTACTTTTATTGTTCCGCATTGCAGATTGGACCGTCTTTTATTTGAAAAAAAAAAAAAAATCCTAGTCTCTACAGGATGATTAAAGTCGTAGATTGTTCACGTTGAAACTCGATATCAGACATTCCTGTCGAGTAGATAACAAGTTAGATGGGGGCACGTGCTTTGGATTACGATACCTTACCAGTCTGGTTCAAAATCGATCGTTTGCAGCTTGTCCCTTTTGTAAACGCAGATAATTTTTTTTTTTATCAAAATTCGATTGAATTGACTCATAAAAAGGACTATTTCAAGATATTGAATATTCGAATTTTCTTTCCTCGATATTTTTCTCTATTTAGAATATTTCGAATTATTCCAATTTTTCGAGGAATTGAATTTTAAACTCATTTTGAAATTGGTCCATTTAAAATGGGTCAAGTGGAATTTGAATTTCTTTTAAAATACTCGTTTAACATACTTGTAAATAGATAAAACGATGTACTCGATAAATAGCTTTTTTTTCATTTAATTTACTGTTAATTTATTTTGCAGATTGATTTATTGTCACTAATTATTTCCTTCTCCTCGAGCTTTTGAAAAGGTCGGCGAAAAAAAAAAAGATGTTCTTTTATTTTTTCTGGATATCATTTGTTATGTCGTCTTAGAGGAAAAAAAAAGAGAGAGAGATATATATATAAGAACAGGATCAAGCGTCTTCTACCCTTGAAGGAAAAAAGAAGAAAAAAAACATCCCTGCGAATTTTGAGAAGCGCAGGCGTCGTGTTTCCTCCCTGTGAGTGGAGTGCACGCACCGCAACGACTTCTCCGTATTACCAGCGCCGATCCCAACGTCGTCCTCGTTGCAGAGGAGCGGTGGGGACGAGGACGCTGGATGCGAGTCCTCGATTTGAGAGCCGCAGTCTCGCCGTCGCCGGTGGCGAGTCCAGAGAGAGAATTGATTTTGTCGAGTCTGAACTCCAGGTTCAAGACAAGAACATTGACCAAGGACAACGATCATTGAATAATTAGAAATTGATATTAAAATAGTGTTGTGATTTAAAAAAAAAAAAAAAAAAAAAAATGAACGTCTCGAAAATTGGATGTCATCGTCCTGGCCGTTCATTGATGTAAATCAACGTCGCCGGAGATGACTTCACCGTCCGAGAAGTCGGCGACGATCGTCCAAAAAGCGAAACGAAAAATATCCTTGCCATGGTTCCGACAGGGCTCGGTGGCACCGCCACATCCTGGGCTGGCCCGGCAACACACCATCGATACTCCGGGATCATTTCACGCTCGACACCTACGCCGACAACCCTCCCTCACCCAGGTACCAGGTGCTCCTCTCTTTCATCATCATTATCATCATCATCATTGTTCACTTTTATTATAGTCAGGTCGATGCCTGGGAATATTGCCCAGGATCCAAAATGCAGATGATTATCCTCTATCGATCGACCCAACAGCTGAGAGAACTCTTTGTAAATATTAACGGATGAATAGGAGAAATTAGTTGCCTTTCAAATCATCTTCTTTATATTCATATCTTGTCTTAATAAGTCTAATTTTTCTTTTCATTTCAAAATTCTGATGGTTTGTCGCTTCCAGGGAAGTCATTGCCTAGGGCTCTTTTTTTCTCGATAAACTCTTGAAATTGTGATTAAATTAAAAAAAAAAAAAAATTTTTAGAGGGTCCGGAACATAAAAATTACTCTGTATCTTCTGAATTAATTATTAATCAATTCTTATTTTTTTGAATTATTATAAAATTAGTAATTATTAATTATTAATCAGTAATTAGTATTCCAGTATTTTGAAGTATTATAAATTCTATTATTATAATTATAATTATAACTATAACTATAATTAATAATTAATAATAATAAATGTTTTAAAATATTCCGAATCTAGAGTATCATGAAGTCATTGAAATTAAATTATTTAGGATTTCAAAAATTAAAAGTAAAAAAATAATTGTATGATTTTGTTATTGACAATTTTAAGATACAATTTTTAATCGAATTTTTAAAAATTTGCAAAATTTTATCATTTTTGTTTGTTTTTTTTTATATAATTCTTTTTTCTCTCTTGCTTTATAATATATCGACCTTTTCACGGAAAGAGAACTTTAATTAATATATTATGTATCGCCTACATTCACCGCAGGTGTAATTTGTCACACGCGGTTCAAACAACCGCGATAAGAATCAATTGACATTTCAGAAAAAACTTGAGAAAATTTTTGCTAAATGTGTGTCATTGTACCATTATGAGATTGTCGCTGTAAAAATGATATAAAATCGATTGAACGAATTGAAAAAAAATTAATAATACAATTTTTGCAAAAAAAAACTAAATTATTGAACTTGAAAAAAAAAATTGAAAAACTTGAAACAAATAATTGGAATATTTTTCACTTATTAATTAAAAAAAAAAAATAATAATAAATTAAGCTTGATACGAAAAAAAATAGAATTTCGTAAAATAAAATTCTAGTAATAAAATTGAGAAAAAAAATTCCAAAATTGAAAAGACAAAATAAAACTGAATAATTATATCAAGTTTAAGAAAATTTTAGTTTTAGTTAACGAATAAAAATATTTAACAAAAAAATACTAAACAAAAAAAAAACTTAAAAAAATAAAATTACCAAAAAAAAAATACTAAAAAAAAATTAATAGAGCTTTATAAAAAGTAAAATCAAGAACTAAATTTTGAGAGAATCTCAAGGGACATTTCTCTAGATATTTTTTTTTTTTTTTTTTTTTTTTAATAATAATTTCAGAAGTATCCTTAAGTTTGGTGGCTACAAGTAATGAAATAAAAAGAAATAACTTCGAAGGTCATCTTAAGTGTGTCCTTTTTTTGCTTTTGACTTTGGTTCATCGGTTTAGAATCTGCGGAGAACCCTAACTCTCTATGTATTCATTTCTTTTCCTCATTTTAACCTCCCCAATATCTCGCACCCTCGTTATTTCATAATAGGTTCCAATTTTGGACCATCGTTTCCCTCTTTTTTTTTTTTTTTACTTCTTCTATAAATCATTCACTTTTACATTTTTTTTGGTTCGATTATGAATCATTTGCATCGCTTACATTCTTACATAAAGCATTTATTTTGAAGAGAAAGAGGTACACGAATACAAAGAGACCATTATTCGAATCGAGATTAGATTAATTCGAATGCCATAGTAAATTTTATTGACAGTCAACCTTGTTGATTTTTTAATGTTGAACAATTTTCCTCTATGAGTGGTCAATTTATTGATTATTATTATTTTTTTTTTCAATCAAAAAATATTTATTCTTGAAAGTAGTTTATAAAATTACGAATTTATAATTTGTAATTTATAAAATTATGAATTTATAATTTGTAATTTATAAAATTACGAATTTATAATTTGTAATTTATAAAATTACGAATTTATAATTCGTAATTTTTAATAGTGAAAAAAATGAATTATTAACATTTTTATTTTGTTAATGTTAATTTTATATTTATTTATTTTTTTTTTTTTTTATTTCGTAAAATTGAAACAAATCGTTTATAATGAATTAAAAAATATTGAATTTTTATTATTATTATAATAAATTATTATTCTAATATTACATTAATGTTTGGTTTTCCAAAACAATTTTTTGTCATAATTTTTTAAATTAGATTCAAAGAAAAATTTATTTTTTAATTCTCTATTTTTGTTATTTAAACCATTTTTGAGACAATTAAACTTAAATAAATTGCGAATAATCTATTATATGGAAGATAAAAATTTATTATTTAAGTTTCAATAAAAAAAGAGGATAAAATGGAACATTAAAAAATATTTACCTTTTGGGATTCCAGATTATGAGAAAGTAAAAGTAATACTCAAGTGTTAAGAAAGTAATATAGCTATTTATAATACACGTGTTCTTTAAAAAAAATTAAAAAAGCATTTAAGTTTTCATTTTATTATGGAAATTTTGAAAAAATTGAAACATTTCTTTTTGGAAAATTATCTAAACTAAAAGTTGAAATTTTTTAAAATACATTAATTTTGGCAATAATAGTTTTAATTTTTTTTCTTAAACATTTTTATGTAGTAAAAAAAATTTAATTTCGATTTTTGAATCAAAAAATAATATTTTCTAGAAAGTTGTGTTTATATCGTGTATATAACATTACAATTCTCATAAATATCTCGAATCCCATGAGAGCTACAGGGATGATTTTTTTTTTTATTTGTAAGTCTCTCAGGATGATATAAAATCATATATGTCTTTGAATCCAATCCATCAAGCTCAACTATATTTTTTAAAAATTTTTTAAAAAAAAACATTGTTTCCTTATTTTTATTTAAATTTATTTAATTTCAATTTTTTTGAAAATATAATTTCTAAATTATCTATATTTTATTACAAATTTCAAAATTAATTAATCACAATATTGTCTTGAAAATTTGGTCAAACACAAATTCAATTAGATGATAATTCAGTTCAATAATAATTCAGTTAATTTATGTCAAAGGAAATTTTGTCAAATTCGAAGAAATATGTTAATTAATTAATTTAATATTAATCCATTAAAAAATAAATTCATGTAGAATTTTTGTCATTTTTTTAAAAATACAATTATTTTTCAATTGTGGTACTTTATTATCAAATAAATATTTATTTAATAAAAATAGTTTTCATTTGAATCAAAAGAAAAAAAAAAAGATTTGGAAAATTAGAGATTATTTGAATTATTTATTTTTTTATTGAGTAATGAAAATAAAATTAATTGTGTGTTCTTTTTTTTAGATTCTAAACAATTGACCTTAAGTTGGGAAGTTTTTTGTATGTCAAGAAGCCATAGGAGACAAGGGGAGTTTTAGAATGTGAATTTTCTATTCTGAATGCTGTTCTCAATCGAAGGACGTCGATGGATCGATGTCCTCTCGATCTTGGCCGATTTTCGAAAAGCAAAATGATATAAGGGTTCGTGTGTGGTCGTTGCTTGTTTTATATGTATTCTGTGGTGGCTTTCGGGCTCTATTGAAATGAAGGTTTCGAGATCGCCAGAGAGCCAAAAGGGGCAAAAGTAACGTATTACTCGCTCCGACGGTCTGCAAATTCAAAGAGACTATCTCTCGCTCGTGGTAACACCATAGTTGCCTGGCCTGCTCTCTATATCGACCGCAGTTGTTGTGTTGTTCGCTCAGCCTCGGATGCATGCTTCCACATTCAATTCCCTTATTTCGAGGCCTCTGGATACGTCGATATCCCTTTTTTTTTTCTCTCTCTCTCTCTCCTCTTTTCTTTGGTATTTTATGATTGATTGTGATGCATTTCGGGCGCCACCAACAGGCAAAATCAGTGGCTCGTACCATTATAAAAGCTGTTAAACAAACAAAGTTTAACAGTTCACTTCCATTTGTCGAATGGAATGTGAGTCTCCGCGAGTTGTATACAATATTCGTTTGTCACAATTTCTTGTTTCACATGTTTTTTCCAATCTTCCGACGGGTAATATATCTGTTTTTTTTATTTTCCATTTCCCTCGAGTAAATGCTTTATGCTAATAATCATTTATCTTCTGTAATTCGCTCTCTCTCTCTTTCTCTCCTTATTCAGTCTGATTAGCTCTCGTTTATTTGTTCCACTGAATTATTAAGATCGATAGGTAACTCGTTGATTAATCGACAGATGATGGTTTTTTTTTTCTTAGAGGGTCTTTTTCTACCTTAAAAACTTTCAACATATTTTATATTCCCATTTTTTTTTTTTGATATTTGTACTCTTTTTTTTATTTTTTATTTTAACTAGTTTTTTATTTGTAACAAATAATTTTTATTTGCAACAAATAATCTTTAATTTGTAAAAAATAATTTTTATTTATATCAAATAATTTTTATTTGAATCAAATATTTAAACAAATAATTTCTCTATTTGAAAGAAATAAAATTTAATTAACTAAAATTATTCTGCCGCAAGGAAATATTTATTTGATAATAATAGTCAAGTAACTGATTATTTGAAACAAATAATTATTTTTTGCCTCAGAACTAAATAAATTTATTTTACTTTAAATAATAATAATTATTTATCAATTTAATATTTTCGAAAAACAAATTAATGAAATATTATTTTTGACTAAATTAAAATTAGATAAATATATAAAAAATTACAAATTTTTAAAATATTTTTTTAATACAATGAAAAGTCAAATTCAAAAGATTTTCCATTTATTCTCTATTATCTTTTTAAATCCCTCTTTTTGTTTCTGCAGGGGAAAAAGTAATTAATAGAAAGTCAGTTAAAGATGTGAGTGACGTGTAAGTAATATTCTCTATGAGAATTAATAAAAGGCTCGTCTTGAAATTTCAAATTCAGCGAAAAAAAAAACCGTATTTCAACAGTCTCGCTGTATCAAAATTTTAATCAATATTTGGTACTTCCAGTCTATTAACCCCTTAACGCGTAATACTTAAGTTTTGTCAAGTGTGCTCAATTTTTCTCCTGGTGCTTCGAGTGTGAAATTGAACACACTGGTACTCGTTTTTCTTTTTCTTTTATTTTCTTTATTGAAAAATTTTCAAATATTTCGATAATAATTCGCGAATAAATTGTAAAGAGAGAGAGAGAGAGAGTGTGTGTATGCTTTTCCACATTGATGTTATAAAAATACTTGTAAAAGAAAAAAAAATTATAGATATTTCCTTATACTTTTTCTGCGATGATATTTTAAAATTAGATCACCTTTTCACCTTCATAAATATTTCAAATTGAAAAGAAAACGGAACATAACATTCAGATGAGAGATTAACTGATACAATAGAAAAAGAAGGGTATTCAAGTGAGAAAAGACTTCTATTTTCATGTTCAGATGACATATCTTTATTATTCATTAGACAAAGTACCAGTTTACAAATTCAGAGTAGAAAAAATTAAATTTTTTTAATAATAAAAATTAATATTAGTTATTAAATAAAATTAATTTTTCTTTGATTCGAGAGAATCATTTTTTTCAAAATTTAAAATAAAATTAATTAAAAACTTGATGAAAAAAAAAGTTAGTTTATTCCGACAGTTTTAATTAAACTGATTTACAAAATTGGAAACAAACTATTTAAATTTGGGGTCAATTCATTGAATTTCTAAGGGTTGCTGACATATTTTTTTTTTAAAATCTAACTTTTAAATATGTTAAACTCGGTCATGTTCTGAGTTCATTAATCACAATATAAAAGGATAAACTTTCCTTCCTTTTTTTTGTAGGAAATTAATAATTAAAATATAGGGATTTTTTTTTATTTTTCGAAAAGAAAACATTTAAAAACACTTGAAAAAATTTTACGTGGGTTTTATTTTTTTCTAGTTTCGAACTTTATCTATTGAAAATATTTTTGACATTTGGTGAAATTGCCACTAAAAGTTGTACAAATTGGAGGGTATTTTTACGACGACTTTTATTTTTTTTTTTAGGAATTCGCACCGAATTTTTATTTTTTCAAAATTTAAATTGAAAATTCTATTAAATTAAAGTTTGATTAGATAAAATTTATTTGTTAATTTGAAAAATGAAAATTTTCCTAAAATAAAATTCGAATAAAAATTCTTTAAAATTATTATAACACAATGATTTTCATGGAATTTTCAAACTATAACGAAAGATTTTGAGTATAATATGAGAAATTGAATTTTTTTTTTTTCAGACTGGAGTAGCAGAAATGACATGGGTTGTCGCAGATCATTCGGCGACACCTGGTACCCGGGAGTTGACTGTCACAAAAGGTCAACAAGTCGAGGTCCTCGAAAACGGAAGCGGAAGTACAGGCAGCATTGGAGCTGAATGGACCCTCGTGAGATTGGCTTCAACACCAGGTCAAGTTGAACCTCCTGCTGAAGGTCTTGTACCAACTAGCGCCCTTAAACAACCGCCCACAGCGTCTTGTAAAACATCGCCGTCCAGGAAACCACCGCCCGCGCAGACCAGCGTTCAAATCGCTCAACAAACCTCCGTTACTGCTGAAGATGCCGGTGAGTATTGATTTTTTTTTTTTTTTTTTACATTTTCTTTTCGTTTATTTGCCAACTGAAGAAAGAAAGAAAAAAGAAAAAAAAACAACAAAGATAAGACTGTTAAATAATGCATGAGGTTTTTATTTCTTTCTTTTTTTTCCTACGCGGAAGAAAGGAAAAAAAACTCCATTCTTTTAAAAATTTAAAGTTTGGAAAAAAAAATGTTCTAAATTTTGAAGCAGAATTTTTTGAATTTAATTTGATATTAATTACATTTGGCGTAAAATTCGTGATAAATTTTATTTTACATGAAACTTTAATTTGACATAAATTTTACTTGCGCTAATTCTCACTTGCCATAAACCTCACATTATCTGCACTTGTCTTATACACGCGAACCTAGTGCATAAGACAAACGTCGACAATGTAGAGTTTATGGCAAGTGAGAATTAGGACAAGTGAAATTTATTTCAAAATGAGTCAAATAAAATTTAAATAAATTATCTTTTATCTTATTATTTAGTTTTGTATGTGAAAATATTTATTTCAAATAATTATAAAAAGTATGAAATTTGCAAATTTAATATCATATTTTAAAATTTTTGAAAATATTTGTCCAATATCGATTCGTTGAAAAAACGAATGTGATAGATAATTAAAAGTTTAATTAGTTCTACTTATAATTGAGATTCTCGATACGATTGTTTTACATTTTTCAGATTAATGAATAAGCTGTAAAATATTCGAATTTTTATTAAACAGAATTTTATTAATTTAGACGATTTTATTTTAATTTTTTCGAATTACAGAAATTCCATTTAATACAATATTAGAGAATTTGTTAATGAAAAAATTTCATTTTACAGATTTTTTATTTCAATTTGTAAGAATTTATTTATTTTACATAAAAGAATTTTTTTTTGTAGAACAAATGAAAATTTGTCTATGAAAAGAATTTAATAATTTTGTAAAAAATATTCGAAATGAATGAAAAAATGAAAATTTCGAGTAAATAAAATAATTGTGACAAATTCGATGAACAAAAGGAAAATTAATTCTGTAATATAGAAATTAGATTAAATTGACTAAATAATATAATTCAAAATAATAAAAAATCGACTGAATTTTAGATAATTTTTTATTAAATGAAAATTGTAAAAAAAATTAATTGTTATAGGCATATGTTTGTTGTTAATTTTGATGATTTTTATCCTTCGACATTTAGTGATAACAGAAATGGAGGAGAGAAAATTAGATTAAACACAATCGACGAGTAAAATGTAGACAGTGACGGCTATTCTATAAATGGGTATTTGAAACTAGAAGAAAGAGCTGATAACAGTATTACTGCGATACTATACCGACAATACGATTTTCTCTGATGGATTACGGAAAAAGCAATCTCGAGCTTTTATCCTCTTTCTCACATAAAGCGTCTTTATACCTTTTTGTTTTCTTCTCCTTTTTTTCCAACTTTATAATCAAAGAGGGGTTTTCGGATCTCTCTCTCTCTCTCTCTTATATTTTATACCAAGCTTCTCGATGTCTTGAATATCGTATGATATTTGTCGATCATATAACATAAAATCATATTTGCATTAAATTATCAAAGTAGATACTCCAATTTTCGGAACGATCGATTGAACATAGAAATATGAACTCCAGATGTTTGAAATTCGAAAACGTTGATATTCAATCTCATTGCAATTCAAGTAAATTTTTTTTTTTTATTTCTTATTCAATAACTAATTAATTTGACAATATAAATTATTATTATTATTAACTAACAAGATACTAGGTAAAATAAAATTTTAAAAATTTTTAACTCTCGGAATTGGGATTCAGTTTTCATATCTCGTTAAAACTTAAAGAGTTATAAATTGAAGTCATAAAAATGTTAAACTAAGTTTTAGCATTTAAAAAAAAAAAATGTTAACACTTCTAAGTTTTTGCAGTGTCAAGTAATTTAAGCAATGATATTTAAAACCTTGAAAAAGTTGTAGACAATTCTTTTGAGGATATAAGAAAGGGCTTTCATTTTTCGCCCAAGGCTAATTTGTTTTTTTTTCTCATTTTCAAAGGCTAGTTTTTATAAACTGTGCCATTTTTTGTTATTTGATTTTTTCGAAAATGTCTACTAACTCCAAAAATATTATAGGGTTGCCACAATTTTTTTTTTTGACTTTTCAAGAAAATTTAAAATTTAGTAAAAATAATTTTGGTTTATATTTTATAAAGTTGTTTTTTCCAGGATTTGAAGGAAAATTGAACTTTGCAGGATTTATAGGATTTCGTGAGTTTTCCCGAATTTCCAGATAGCGTGGCAACCGTGTTAATTATGTAGGAGGGAAGAGAGGATTTTAAAATTAAACTCCTTCTCGATATTTTTGAATTTTGAGAAGAGAAAAATAAAATCCCACCTTTGGAAAAATGGCGAAAAATCTTCAGAGGGTGAAAAAAAAAAAAAAAAGAAAAACGTCGGCACTTGCGCTACCGGATACGGCAGGATCCGGCAATTGGTTCTCGTACGTGTGCCCCAAGTCTGCACTCGATCAATACGCACCAGCAGTAGGAACGTGTGTCCTTGACCAGTTCGCAGCCTCCGAACGGTCGTCCGGCCATTGCGCGACCTATGGCAATTCGCTCTCGGTACGCACGACACTTGACACACCTTTGACACATACACACCTATTTCTAGTGTCCACCACATACAATCATTGGTGGCTATGACCTTTGTCACCTGCAAATTGATATACGATGAGTATCGATGGTGTGCTTTGAAAAATACTTTAACAACTATTCACCTTTGTACTTTCTTTGAATATTTATGGGTCATCGCCCGTCAACAGGAATAACTTTATCGCGACAAATAACAAAATCCTCACTCTTATAAAAACATTGCCCTCACTCTCTTTCACGTACCAATCATTCTGATTTGTTTTCACAATTTTTTTTTTCTCTTTTTTGTAAAATTTTATCTTTATTTAATCCTGGCGAGTAACTCTTTTTTTTTTTTTTTTTTATTTGAGTGAATGGTTTTTTTCTACCTTTTTTTTGCGGGAAACTGAAATCGGATGGAAATGAAAAAAAAACGTTCGTTTGTCTTGTCGTTTTTTCATGAAACTCTCGTTTTTTTTTTACCTTTGTTTTTAAATATATTGGGAAATTTTATTTTTCGAATGAAATGGATCGTTAAGAGGCTTTTCAGTGGATAAAAATAGTTTCTAATTGTTTATGAATAATTCTTGACATATATTATAAAATATAATTTTAAATTGCTTTTAAATTTAAATTATTTAAATTTAAATTATTAAACATTATAATTATAAAATATGGTCAATGGTCATGGAAATCTTTGATAATGTATTCATCTTTTTTTCGTCTATTTTTTTTTGTCTTTTTCATTTATTTTTCCTTTTTTGAATTAACTTTTTTTCATTTCCATTTTAAAGACAAATTTCTGTTTTTTGAAAAAAGTTTTTTTAATTTGTTTTACTTCAAGTCACAAGCGATTTGTTTTTATTATATACGATTTGATTCAAAGACGAGAAAAAAAATTAAAAATCGGGAAAATTTTTTTTTTTTTTTTTTTGGATTTAATTTTGACTCAATTTAAATATTGTTTTTTATTTACCTGTACTTTTTATTTTATTCTTTTTTTTTATCTTTATGGAGAGTTCTATTAATTTTTTGTAGTTGTACTATTTTTTTATTTCATTTTTTATTTTATTTTTTTAAATTACATTTGTTTATCTTTATTATTTATTTTATATTTTTATTTCTCGTTTTTTTTTTTATTTCGTACACTTGTTTTCGTTTTCGTATATGAAACATTTTTTTACCTGCGTTTTTTAAATTGCAAAGTTTGAAAAATTTTTAGTCAAATTATGTTTGAATTTAATTTAATCTAAAGGTAAATTTTTAATGTAAATTTAAATTTCGAATAATTTAAATTTAGTACAAGCAAAAGCTTTTTGGAAGTCGATAGTTATACAAACTGAAAACTCTTTATCGTTTATATCTAAAGTTTTAATTAGAAAATGAAAATCAATCTTCTCATTAAGCAGTAAATGATCAAATTTCTTTTTTTTTTTAATGAATTGATAAATATTAAAATACTTTATTTTTATTTTACATTGTCTTGGTTTTCTTAGGATAAAATAAATTCAAATTGAATTGAAGTCTAAAAAAATAAATATTTTCCAAATTTGAATCATTTTCAAGATTGAGAACACAATGTAGAATGAATTTTCCACTTCTGAACTCAGTTAACTAAGAAATTCGAACTCGAACCTAATAAGCAAAGGAAAATGAGTTCAAGAACTTCCGTAACACGACTCAATTAGTCGTTGAATTAATTCAAATACTCGACAAATTCACCCCTTTGCAAATTGATCCGTTAGCACTGGAAATTCTTGATTGGATGTTGTTATTACTCTTCAGATCTAATTTGCGGTTACTATCATCGGCTGGAATTAATTATCAAATAAATTCATCAAATGTACATCAATTATTTCCAATGTTTCTCTTTACAATTATTATTAATAACTCTCATTGATCAATTTCATTACACATTGTTAATTGATATTTTTTATTTTTCAAAATTATCGAAAATTTTTCAAAAATGATAATTTACATTTAAAAGTAAATTAAAGAAATTTTTTTTCCCCGAATTTAAATTAAAAAAAAAATATATATATTCTTATAAAGTAATATCATAAAATATTCATAAACAATTACAATTTATCTCAGTCAACTGAAAAACTTTTAACGATTCATTTAAATAAAAATTTTTTTCTAATAAAAACTCGCAGGTTAAAAAAGTTTCATACGCAAAAACGAAAATAAACGAAACAAATGCACCGCGCATAACTTTTTCTCATTTCCGTTCAATTCCAGTTTCATATAAAAAAAAAGACACCGAAAAAAATTGTTTTATTTTTTGTATATTAAAAGTAGGTACTAATTTAAAAATGTGATTGTCACTTAAAATGTTAAAAAACTTTTACAATTTTCAA